GGTAATGTCTTCAACTAGATACGATTTGTGATCTTTTGACGTATTTTTGAAAGAAATCGGTCCAGTGAGAGCTGAGAAAAAGTGGCAACAGACATAAAAAAAAAAAAAAACACATCATAGTAAAATTAATACCTTCTCCGCTTCGCATCGAAGCTAAAAATAAACACATCATGATAAAATTAATACCTTCTCAGCTTCGCATCGAAGCTAAAATATGGTTTAAAATGACCTGTATTGCCGATGTCGAACTGCTATTGAGTTTTATGAGGTTTATGACTCATAAAGTCAATTATATACATTGCCGACTATTATTGACTTAGTAATAAACAGAAACCAAAGGACCACACTACTCGAGTTTAAATGATGTCAACTATAGATTTGTGTGTACTGAAATTAATATTGGTCTTGTGAAAAACTTTGAAAATAAATGAATAAATACTAGTCCATTTAATGCAGGAATTCGAATATTACGTCATACACAAAAAACAAACGTTGTGAGGTAATGTTAAACCTATGTGATAATTTTTTTTATTTATCAGGTCAGTTCATATCAGTTATTATAAAAATTATATTCTATCAGTTGTTGTTCGACAACGCTTCTTACGTGAGGTCGTTGGACGGTGCTGTATTGGTGTAAAATATACGTATAGTTGTTAATTAATTTCGTACGTAGTAGTTGTGTTTAATTAATTGGCAATGTCGACTATGAGTGGTGTTTAACAGTAACTACGTGTAACTGATACTATACACTACTAATCTAAGAGTACCAAAGGCCTACATCCTTCACTGCAAACAAAACCGGTTTCGGCCATTTTCCGCGCCGTGAACACTAGCCCATAAAAATCATAATTACACGTTTTTCTTGATAGTGATAATAATAATCAACGTCGAAAATTTTAATATAGTAAACATTGATCATATGTGGCTAATATTATTTAAAATTAAAATTATATTAAATATAGTTCTAATTTAAAATATTATTATAGTGCCATTAACAAATCCTTCAAAAAATAATAATTTAAAAAATTGGAAATAATTGAAATTTTGTAAACTTTTTTGTCATACAATTGACATAACTTTTTAAAAAAACCATAAATAAAAATATATTTTTGTCAATAAATTTATAGATATTTTCCATTAATAAAGTCATATTTTTTGAAAACCTGATTCCTTACCAACCGGCAGAGGAAAATTAAAAATAACAACTTTTGCATTAAAAGTTTATTTATAATTTCTAAATTAGTAATTCAGTTTGTACTGAACATAGAAAATTTAATAACTGTAACATTTTCTTAAAAAGTTGAACACTTTAGTTCAAAGATTTTATAGATGTTGAATCTAAAATTTTATAATACAAAAATTTAAAAAATATTCTACAGCCATTTTTAGCTTCAATATAAAGTTCAGAAGGTATTAAATTGTACTATGTGTTTTTTTTATGCTGTCATCACTTTATTCAGCTCTCACCAGATCAATTTCTCAATGATACATCAAAAAATCACAAATCGTTGATGACATTGCACTTGACAATTAAAAAAAAACACAGCACAAGGGGGTCGTGGCGTAGTGGTGACGTGGCATAGTTGGATCAAGTATAATGATATCTGACAGTGATTAATATCACTATAAAAAAAAAAAATTATATTGAATTGTTTATTTTTGAAAAAGTTATAGCAATTTTAAGTAAAAAAAATTGAAAAAATTTCGAAAATTAGCGATTTTTAAATTTGTAATTTTTTTGGAGGTTTCCTCCATTTACGGAAAACGAGGGAAATTTTTTCAATTTTTGAGGTTAATGTCTTCGACTAGATACGATTTTTGATCTTTTGACGTATCGTTGAAAGAAATCCATTTGGTGAGAGCTGAGAAAAAGTGGTAACAGACACAAAAAAAACACATCATAGTAAAACCAATAGCTTCTCAGTTTCGCATCGAAGCTAAAAATGATTGACGTAATTAAATTCATAAATATTAATGCCCTGATCATGACGACGATTTAGTTTCTTAATACTATAATAAATTAGATGCACTTTTTTCTGTCATAGACATGAAATATGTAAGTATTGTTGGAAGTTTAAACTTTCAACTTTAATAAAGCTTAAAGATATTTTAAATAAAATATTTTTTTATAAGAGTTATTGCGTGTAATTTATTGTATAATATCTAAAATCTTCTAGTATAATTCCGTAGACTATGCACTACTCATAAGGTAAAACCTGTTTTGGCGGTCATGCTCACAGTGTTTACAGTACCAAACAAGTAGGCTATAGTGCAATAATTTAAATAGTAAATATAGTTTTATAAATATTTCTTAATATTTAAAAAAAAACATTAAGTATCATATGTTAAAAAAATTCAGTCAGCACTAATATATTTATATAAAATCATTATCATTACAACATATACTATCACAGGGGCACCGGAATTATTTTTTACATGGGGGGCAAAAATTTAATGACTAAAACTAGGTATCTTTGATTGTTACTAAGCTAAAAAGCTAATTTAGCTAAAGGTAATTTACAAATTTTACTCTTATTAATACATATTATTAGCTTCGATGCGAAGCTGAGATTATATTAATTTTACCATGATATGTTTATTTATTTTCATCAAAAGATCACAAATCGTATCTAGTTGAAGACATTACCCTAAAAAATTGAACATTTTTCCTTCGTTTCCCGTAAATGGAGGAAACCTACAAAAAAATTACAAATTTAAAAATCGCTAATTTTCGAAATTTTTTCAATTTTTTTTACTTAAAACTGTTAAAACTTTCTTAAAAATGATTAAATCAATATATATATATTTTATAAATCTGACTTTTTTCCTGCCTACAGGGGGGGATTCAAAATGACAACTTTTTCACAAAAAATTTACTTTTTCAACTTAACTTTTGAAAATGTTCCGGAAGGTCTGACACTTTTATATATATCTTAAATTAAAGCTAATGTAATATACTTTATTATGACAAAAAAAAATTTCGGACTTTATTTTGTCTTCACGGTGAAAATGGTTACCAAATGCTATTTTTGTGTGAAAATTTTACTTTTTTTATTTATTTTAAAATACCTTAAAAGGGTTTGCCATAGTAATGAGTTCACCAATAAATATAAAATTTATATGAATCAAACTTACATTAAATATAAATTTATACTTAATTTGATAATTTTGCTTCTTTAAAGTTAAGAAAAATTTTTTTGAAAATTTTTAGAAAATGTAGAACTTTTTCAACTTAACTTCTGAAAATCTGCTTCTTTTAAATATATATTGAAATAAAGCTAATTTTATGTACTAGAAGTTCAAAAAAAAATTTGTACCGACCACCTATTATCTTTATACAAATGGCAGTCGAAGTAGAACAAAAAATAGGATTTAATTTTGCTTTAGGAATTATCCACCAATTTATTTAAATTAAACACTATTTACAGATTTGAATCGAAGCAATTCTTATGATAGTGGTTTTAATCACTGTCAAATATCATCTATACTTGTCCCAACTATGTCACATCAATACTATCCTACGACTTTATTGTGCTACCTTTTTTTGAAATTCAACTAGAGTTAGGTAAATTCATTAACACTTTTTAATCCTAAAATCTGAATAGCTAAATAATTAAGTATGGTAGTGTTATATTAATTTCCAGATTCATTGTAATTTTTTTTTGTCAGATTCTATTGGGGGGCATAATGATATTTTTAACCTTTAATTTTACTCATTTACAACATACCAATATAAAAATATAATCAACATTCATTTTTCTTAAAAATTGAGAACAATCATTGCTCAAAAAAAAAAATTACTTCATAATAGAAAAATCATATTTCAAGAATCCACTATATGATATTTAACAATAAGTAAAACATGAACTATTATTAATCTTTGAAAAAAAGATTATGTAGGCTTGTATTATGCATAAAACAATTGTTATTATCATAGCTCACAGCAGTTTAAATTTTTGATATGATTAAAACAATTAAAAAATCTTACCTTTTGGAAGAATCATATCATATAAATTATAAATTTTCTTTGAATTATAAAGCTGTTTCAAACTAATAGTTTAAAACAATATTGATGATTATCTATAGCTTTAGTTAATAGTACGAGTGATTTAATACAATCGGTGTCATGTTTGTACAAACAATCATTTGAAAGAAACATTATTTTATTATAACTACATTTATTGTTTATTAACATCAACGTTCATAAAGAAGACTGTATGAAATAACATAGTGATTTATAACAATAACAAAAATGATAAATACACAAATGTGTAAATGTTTTGTAAATAATTTCGTTATTTTCTAATTATTTGTAATTTTTTTGTGACATTTTTATAAATATTTATCGGAACTACTAATTTGTCATTTTCATTATACAAAAACACTTATATATTTTTTAACTCATTTTTCTTTAAAATAATGAGCAATCATGGATTTATATCTCAATTAAATAATGTAAATCAACCAGCAGTTACCATAGTAACTGCATAGGTACATCATAATACCATTTTTTAAACTTTTTATAATTTTTTAGAGTTATCTAATAATATTTTTATGCAATTTTTTTAATTATATTCATCCTTGGATTAAAAATAATTAATTTTTTTCTATAATCAAATGTTTTTTTAATAATCATTGACGTATTTAATAACACTAAAATTTTAAAATTATAATGATAATACATTTATGCGATGTGTCATAAAGACAATAAAATGTTCAAAATGTATAATAGTTTTGAAAGAACTATTAGTAATTTAGTAAAACATGTTTTGTCTCAACCGATTTTCATTTTTTTTTTCAACTAATCCCTTCTAGTCAATTAGATCTCTATTGATGGAAGTAGCTATTAAAATTAAAACACTGTTTTTTTGACGTGTCAAAATAATACCTATTAGGGATATTGTCTAAATTTTGTTGTTACATTTAATATTTAAAAAAATTTATATTTTGGTTCTAAAAAAATATTTATTGGTAAATATTTATTTATTAAGCGATAAAATTTATTTTTTAGTTAATAAACGAGAGCATTTAGCTTGCTGCCGTATCTCTATGAATTCAGGTAAACGGATATTTAGATGATCACCACGAGACTGATGACTTGGGTGTGACTCAAGCCACCATAAAGGTCTATTAGGAGACAATGAGTCTATAAGTAACCAAAATCGTTCACCCTCGCGAACATCAACGCAAGCCTTAGCCGCTAACATCATTCCCACTCGATCTGCTTCGTACTCAATTTTTCTACTCAAAGGTAGCAGTATAAATACTTCTAATAAAATTGATAATCCAATGGTTACCATTAGTGCAGAAGAAAGGTGTAAAGTTATATTAATAACCAATGCCATAATTAAGAAAACAAAGTTTACCAAACACTTGTAACTATTCATTTCTCTTGGGTGCTCTTGGATACAGTGAGCTAATTCGTGAGCAATTACCACTGCTACCTGATCAGCATTGGCTGCTACATTCAAAAGACCTGAGTGCACAAATACGAATCCATTTGGCATTACGTACGCATTAACCGATGAGTCTTTTAGTACTACCAAACTCCAATCATGTTCTACATTTGAGAGATTCTCATTGGCATTCAACAATTTTAACATCACATCCAGTACTAATTTGTAGTTTTGATCTTCTTTTGTTAATACAATTTTTTGTTTATTATATAAATACAATAATGCTTTAGTTTGCAAGTCTGCAATCTCTTTTAATGAATCTTTATCAATCAGCATAAATTTCCGACGTCCAGTAAAAACGTCGACTTCGGTTTGATTCAGCAGATAAACTATAAAACCTCCAGAAATTAAAAATGTCAAAGCATAAACCCAATTTGCATTCTGTCGAAATTTTTCTTGATACCATCGCTGATCTGTTTTTTTCCACCATAAATTGATTAATTGACCTACAATAGCAACTCTAACCGAATTTCCCAGTGACCCAGTGCAATAGTTCGTAGTCAAAATTTTTTCAAAACTATCAATTATTAAACTTTATAGAATAATTCTGTTGAATAATTATATATATATATATATATATATATATATATTTAATTTAGCATATTTACATTAAAAAAATTAATTTAATAAAAAAAAAATCAACCTAATTTTAAAATATTAAGGAGAAAAAAATATTTAACAATTTATAATTAACAAATAATGTAATTTTCAGCTACAATTTAATTATAACTAGTTGACTTTACTAGAAAAAATGAAATTCAAAAGGAGTATTTTAAAACGAGGCGAACTACTCCTATACATTTTTTTTATTTTACTTAAAATCATTTATTTTCTGCGATTTTATAAGTATTATGTAGCATTGATTGTTATTTAGGGTTTTGTTTTGGTAGGAGGGTAATAAATAAGACAAATTTTGATTATTTCCTATACACGAAAAACAGTTTTATCTTTATTATGTAATTAGTTCACACTGGAGGATTTATTTTCTGCTTAGTTATTCCTTATTAAGGAAACACGAAAAACTTTTTAAATTGAATATTGAATAAATACTTTTGACAAAAATAAAATATTTTCCTTAGATAAGTTGGAGTAGAGTTACATAAATCACAGCGGAAACAGATTTTTATGAGTTATTTGCTTCAGTACGGTTATTTATTTCTATGTAAATTATAAAACGCAAATTTGGAAAATGATTATAATGATATAAAAAAAAAAAACTACAGCTATTTATTTCTAAGCTTAATAGTAATCCTTTTATTAACCAAAATAAATCTTTAAAAAAAAATTATGAATCTCATCACAAAACATAATTATGGATACACCACTGGCTAAGATAATTAAGTTATCAACTAATTTTAAATATTCATAGAAACGTTTATTTATTGCCAAACATTACCATTTACCTATCTATTTATTAATAAATACAGCGGAATATAATCGAATTTCAAGTTTACTTCTTACTTGTCAAGCTGTAAATGTCTATCTGAAAATTTATATGAACATAAAAAAGGGTTTTTTCCAACTTTGATTTTTGAATATGGTATAGAGTTAAAACATTTTCTTATCCAATTTTTTTTTTTTAAATTTTGACGATGAATTCCTAAATTTAAAAACCGATTTTTAGTTAAATTTTTAAGAGCAATATTGATCATTACAGAAAATTTAATTTAATTTAGCGTTTTCCCGCTATTTTAACTTAAATTTAATTTAATCTATTTAATTATCTAAGCCTTAATTAGTTTTATTTTAGCCAATATATTTTACCAAAAAAGTATAAACTTTAATTCATAACAATAATTATTAGTTTATGAAATTTCATTTTAGCTTCGTTGCGTATCAGAAAAGTACTTAGTTTTATCACAGAAAAGATAAAATGAGGACANGTTGCGTATCAGAAAAGTACTTAGTTTTATCACAGAAAAGATAAAATGATAAAATTCTACATACGACACGCCTACATATAGTTAAAATCCAGACTATGAAATATCGTGAATAAATCTTGTCACTAGCAGGTGAATAAAGATGCTTATCCAAAACAGTCTGACCTTGACAGTTATGTCAATCAACATGGAAAGACTATCTAGTTCCCAAGAAATATTACTGTTAGAACTTTGTGTTGAATTGAAATATGATGTACCTTGTATCAAAGAAACACATAGTGATACAGATGATAACCGTTCAAAAATTAATAACATGTAAATAATATTCCAATTACCAATAACAATTTACTAATAGTAGTAGAACACTCTTTTAATAGTAGACATTGGAAGAAAAGGTAACAACCCAGATCTCATTTACGCTACAAATAATGTGGCACAACAAAGTTCAAAATATATTGGATAACAGATACCAAACACATAGTACAGACCAGTGTTCCTACAAATCCACACTGTTTTTATATCACAAAGTGTAACTTTTAAAAGAAGATGAACTGAATCCACAAAAGTTTTAGAAAACAAAATCCAAAAAATTAAGCCCATATTATAAAACTACGAGATCATTGTTCAAAGTTCTAAGATATTTTTTTTAATAAGTTAGTAGACGAAATATCCCGAAAAAACATTCCTAGAAGATGAAGATCACAATACGTAACGGGATTTGATAAAGATCTTTTAGGCTTTTCGAAAAATACAAACAAGATTTTAATAAAGACCTTCAGGTAACTGATAAATGTAGTATAATTACTAACGCATGTACTAAATATCACATATATATGAATAAAGCAAAAAAATCATCTAAGGAATATTTCCCTTTTAGGGTAATGAAAATAACTATTTATCAACACATGTTTCAAACCAGTCCCCTATAATTCATTAACTACGCCCACGGCAGGGTTTCTATCACAATTAACCAATCACAAATAATTATCCAACATCTTAGGAATTTCAATAGAGATCGCTGGCTTACTCATCTAGCGTATAAAAAGCCATTTTTTCTCGTAAAAAGGGACGACTACGACTGTTCTCTCTTCTCTCGTGGCTCTGCTCTCATTCTCTCAATATTCTCTTACATGGAATCTGCGTCAGTATAAGTAAATATTTTGTCCTTGTGACTTAGTTTTTTTTTATATATATATTATCTTAAGTGGTGAACATTGTCTTAAATGATTTATTAATATTTTACCCAGGAACAAGTTTTTATTTATTTTTAGTATCACCTAATGTTCTCACGACAAATAAATATAATCTCTATTTTTTATATAAAAGTTTTAAATATTATTGTGCCCTACATTTATGAACAGTCTTAAATGTGCCGAACTAAATGAAGAAGCATAATTTGTGATTAGAATTAATTAGTTTTAGTAGTAGTACTTTATGCCTGTGTACCCGTCAGCCCTAAGGGACTATGCCAAATTACCTCTCGGTAAAGTATAGGCAGTTGAAGTACAGAGTAGTACTAAACTTATAAGAAGAGTATTTTTGAAGTGCGCTATATCCGTCGACAAGCCAGTTCTAGAGCTAGTAGTCCAGGTAGAGTTCATCATAAAATATATAGTCCGTAAAATAGGAAACTACATCTTAGAAATGTCCTCTGCGTGTGTACCCGCCAGCCAAAAAGGACTATGCCAAATTACCTCTCGGTAAAGTGTAGGCAGTTGATGTAAAGGATAGTAAAAGGTGTATTGAAATAATATTTAAAATATATTAACGAGGTTAACTGTGTTCGCGCCAACCAAGGCTATACGCCGAGAAACGCTAGGCTACCACAGTCTTGTTAATTATATTTTGAATATAGATAGACATATTCTTATAATTATATGTTGACAAGTTCAGAGTAAATTTTAAGAATATCGATATCGACTATAATAGGGAATTCATCGAAAATATTATTAGTAAAAACATAGTATAATATAAAAGGAATTTAAAGAAGATAAAAAAGGTAACAAATTATAATAGACGCAGGTCCCATAGTAGAGAACCCTTTTTCTAAATCTAATATACACAGAGAGACTAATTAATCGAAATAAACGCAAGACAGTATAAACGACTGTTGACACTAAAGGAAGAAATCACCATAAAACCAACTCAGTCAATTACAAAAGGAAATAAAGGTAAGTGCGAATATTTATTTGCATACCTTACTTCTAAAAAATCACGTAATAAGAATAGGAATAAGTGAAGTAGGGATATTTTATTATTTAATAAATAAATATAGTTGGAACCCGAGATACCACTTCATCTTTAACCCCTTTATCTTTTTATCTTTTTTTTGTTTATTACATAAACTACTTAGGCAGAATTTGATGCAGTCGATAAACGATAATAAAAGACGTAAATAAAAATTACTAGTGGAAAACATGGACAATAGCAATTAAAACATGGTGTACCTTAAAACAAATAAACAGAAATCCGAAATCTATTAATAAACACAAGGTATGTAACAGAAATACAGATCGCATGTGTCTCTCTCGAAAATAATAAACCCGAAAACAAATTGAAAATAATACAAATATCCAGAGATGAAGAAATTAAAATATCACTTCTCTGAGTAGAATTACAGTCAACAAAAATAAATATGTGCAATAAAACAGATGAAAGTAGGTTGGGTATCCGAAATAGATGAAATAAAAACAGAAATAATAAAACATTTTAGTAATAACACGCACGAATGAATGAAACATTGGTTGAAATATTTCGGCCAATATCACTATTATGTCATGTATACCTCAAATAAAAAATTAATCTTAAACAGTTATTAAAGTTACTATTTATAAAAGAAATCCTAATTAAAAATTAAGTTGGATTCCAATCAGAGAAATACTATAAATTAAACCTAACACGGTACATTAAAGATAATTTCAAAACAAAACAAATATCTTCAGTCATTTTTGTAGATTTAACTGCAGCTTACGGCACAGTTAATTATAATTTCTTATTGGACAAAGTATATAAAATAACTAAAAACTACAACGAAAGTAATTAAGTCTATGAATCCAATAATAGATTTTGTGTAAGACTACAAGACCAAAAAATCTATTGGAAAAATTTAAAATATGACTTCCCACATGATAGTGTTTTCACACCAATACATTTAAATATGTACATAAGTAGCCAGCCTTTTGTAAAATCTACTCACCATTCCCAATATTCCGATAATTGCGCAAAAGAAAACGTTCAGTAAAGTGAAACACTTGCGCTGGAAAAATTGGACAGGTACTACACACGGAACTAACTCAAACTCAACACAGCAAAAATGCAATGATGTGTGTATTCCAATTCAACAATAAGCAGGCAAAGAAGGAATTAAAGTTATAGTGGCGGGTTCTTGAACATACATATACACCCATCTACCTAGAAGTCATTTTATACAGGACATTAACATTTAAAAACAAAATCAAAATTTAATTTGCAGCAAGAAATAATATACTAAGAAAAATAACCGGGACAACGGTAGCTGGACATACCAGCTGGGGAATAACGGGATATTCCTCAGCTGCTATGCAAATCAGCACTTACCTTATACTATTCAGCTAAAGAAAATGCATGTATGGAGTAGATCGTTTTATGCAAAAGAGATGGATATAGCCTTAATCAAAGCACGTTGCCTAATCACTGGCTGCTTGAGATCAACAACCATGCCTTTGGTATAAGTTCTAGTTTGCACAGCACCCCTTGATATCAGAAAATGCGTATTCAGAGATGCCCAAAAACCAACCCAGACAAATGATAAAAGATACCTACTACATGGATACAAACCGGTGCCAAGTATACTAAAATCAAGAAAAAACTTATTGAAATCAATTTTAGAGCTCACAACATTTCCTGATTATTAATGACTTCAAAGATGAACAGAATTGAACTAAGCCAACAACTTCTAAATAAGACCAATGGAATATCAAAAAGGATGGAACGTCTGGAAAATACTTAAAATATTAAGAGTGAGTATTTCCCAAGAACAGAAAAATCTTCATAAATTGCTATGTAATGCAAGAAACGTAGACTACGACTGTGGAATTAAACATACAGATATTCACTCTAAACTCAGTTTTCTGCATACTTGACTTATAAATTCAATAGACGCGATAGTACAATCAATGAAACATAAAATAATATAATAAAGTATTTATATATATCCTAAATACGATAAAAAAACGGTAGCATAGTGGGATNAATAATATAATAAAGTATTTATATATATCCTAAATACGATAAAAAAACCGTAGCATAGTGGGATCGCGGCACAGTGTGGACGAGGCATAGATGGGACAAGTATAGATGATATCTGACAGTGATTAAAATCACTATCATTAGAAACGCTTCGATGCAAATCTGTAGATAGAGTTTAATTTTAAGAGATTGGTAGATTATTTCAAAAGCAACCATAACTCTTATTCCCTTAATTTTATCCCGATTTATAATTATAATATATAAATACTTATAGTAATTAAATTTAGTATGAAACTGATATTCAATAATATTGTAATTTTTACGGAGATATTACAAAAATAAAAAGGAGTTTATATTCATATACTTTTAACGCGTATAAAAATTTAAAGGGATTGATGCATACTTTTTAATAAAAAAATTTTGTTACTTATGAATAAATACTCTAGACGACAAGGAACTTTCATCAGAAGCAAAAATATACTTTTCTAAATCAACTTTTCGCGATGTTTTCAAATGTGCAATTAAACTTTTTCTATTACTTCTGAGTTTTAATATTTTTACTTATTATTAAAAAATAAGTATTTACATATAAAAAAAAATAATGAAGAACAAAAAAAAATTGTTTTAAATTGATACTGATTTTGATTATTAATATGTTAAAAATATGGAAAATGACATACTTAACCTATTTTTTTAATCGTTTAAAGTTGATTTTTGTGAATGTTTATAATAAAAAAAATTAATTTATTTTACCATAACTTTTAGCACAATTGGCAAGTTTGAATTTGACATCATTAAATAGAAAATTTTATGAGAATTAAAAAAATTGTATCGTTAAGATTAATACGCAGTAGGAAGTTTTATAAATACTATTTATAGTAAATTTATCGGAGTAGGTCAATATTTTTTTGCATTTTTATCGTAATAGATAAATTAAATAGAAGTAATAGTAATCATATCCTAATAACTTTAGGCGTTTAAAAAGATTCTGCAATTGAAATATGAACTGAATTAATTTTAATGATTTACTTTAACTAAAAAAAACTAATCAAAAACAAGTTGTTAAAAAGATTTACTCAATAGAGCGTATTATAAAATTTCATTATAATTGTAAAAATCCATTGTTAATTCAGGAGAAACAAACAACCATTATTTTTAGAAATTATTTATATAGAACATGTTATCAAAAAATTTGGAATATTTTAGTCTAATAGTAGTACACACAAATAGAGTAAAAAAATTATGAAATTACAAAGTAAAATGATTTAATTTTGTAGTTGAAACTTATCATATCAAACTTGATTCGTTAATAAATACTTTGAAAACATTAGAAATGAATGATTTTAAATTTCTGTGTGGAGAAAATGGGTAAGTAACTGTTTAATTGATAAATTAGAATTTTTTTTTCAATTTTTGAGGGTAATATCTTTAACTATAATTATAATCATTTGACATATCGTTAAAAAAATTGGTCAAGCTAGAGCAGAGAAAATAAATGATAGTCACAAAAAATACCTTCTCACCTATGCATCAAAGCTAAAACCCAAAATATAGTAAAATAATTTTAATATGAATAAGAAATTTCTTCTCACGAGGGGCAACTATAGAGATAAAGTTATTGATTATAAATTTTTATAATTTTTTTGTTTCCTTCCTTTTTTAAGTTATGGCAGTTTTAAGAAAAAAAATTACCGATTATGGAAATCACTAGTTCTTTGAAAGATTGAAGGAATTATAGGGAAAAAGACTTTTTTCAATTATTAAGGGCAATGTCTTTAACTAGTAACGATATGTGATTTTTTGACGTATCGTTGAAAGAAATCGGTTTGGTGATAGCTAAGTAAAAGTGGCAACTGTCAAAAACAATATATTAAAATAAAATTAATACCTTTTCAGATACGCAACGAAGCTAAAGTAAAATAATGATAAAATAATTTTTTTATTTTGTTAGGTATTTTAATACGGTTTTTTATACACATTTGCAAATAATTTGTATTTTACTAAATAATATATCAACTTTTATCAAGGCCAATACGTTTTTGATTAGACAGGTAAACATGCTTACCATAAAATAAATTATGGTAATAATCAGCTGTACTATGGTAACTACCACTCTCCAAACCACCGCCACGCCATCAATTGAAATGTTATCGATTTTATGTGCTGTTATCAAATTTCGTGGTATAAGAATTAAGTTGACAAACATAACGATGTTTAAGATTTTAGTGTATTGATGATTAAAAACCCTTTGATTAGTTAATTATTGGAAGTTAATTTTTAATACATTTTAAAGTGTTGATGATGTGAGAATAAAACTTCTTAATTGGTATAATGTTAGTAATTGCATTCACCATGTTAGTCTTGTCACGTTTTGACGCAGGGCTATTATAGACGGCGTTACAATATTTTTGTTAGTGAGCCTTTGCGCGCATGACCTAGACTGCTGCAATCAACGGCGAGAAATCTGTACCCTTTTGGTTTGCTGAGTTTAATGTCTTACTATTTACTTACATTTCTCTCATAAAGGTTGATCTAATCCGCTGTATAAATGTACTAAAAATGGGACTAATTCAACAGGTTAGTAGATAATTTGTGATTATCTTAACTGATGATAAATTAAGAAAAAAATATCCCTAATTATTTTTTCTTTTCAAAATGTTTAGCAATTATATTAAGACAATGTATTCATATATATTTATGTATAAGGCATTTAAATTAAAATATATCTTTTTTCAAGTGTGTGATTCAAATGAAACACCTTATTTACTTTATACAAATGAAATAATTAAGAAATTTACAGCCATTTAATTTATTCTTATTGATAATTTAGAACCAGAGTAAAATATTTTATTTTGGTCTCTTATTTATTTGTTTTATTTATTGTTTGATAAAATCAATCTTAAATAAATATATAATTATTATTGTTAAGTCTTTGAATTTGTATATACATAAATCTTAAAATAAATTTTAAAAACATATCTGTGTACTTCCAATACATTCTTAGCTACATGTCAAAGCAAAAAAAAAAATTCATTCAAAAATAATTTTTAGAATGTTATGCCATTTTTAATTGTAAAATTTTTACATTATTTTTGTTATCTAATCTATAAAGAAAATAATATTGTAATACAAATTGCATCATAAGGTAAGTTCAATAATATGTTTAATCATATTGATAAAATACCTAAAAATTGGCAATCATGATATTTTAAAATTAAATGATTTAAAAAATTGTTTTTTTTTATATTTATAAAAAATAAAATTAAAACAGGAATATCAAACTAGAATTCAAAAGAGTAAAATCAACTTAAGTGGTAGATAAACTTCTTTTTATGTAATGTGTAAATAATAGTGTTGCAAAAAAAAAAAAATTACGTAGATTCGCTAAAGTTTAACAGATTTTTTAATTCAATTAAATTAACCAAAATTTTCTAAATTTTTTGCATATATCACAATTTGCATTTAATATAAAAAATATTCAATATTCATTAGATCTGACTGTTTTCTTACATCCCATGAAATGTTTCTTTTGTTTGATGTATTTAAATATTAAATTAAAATTTTTTAATAAGTTTTTGTAGTTATTTTTTAATATTTTAAATTCTTCATATATTAAACATCTATTTAGGTTCATGATTACAAATGGTGCTCAATTATTAATATTTTAAATACTAAACTACATTTTATCAGATAAATACTTGATATAATTATCTAGTATATTAATAAATATACTATTTACATATATTCATATTTTTTTTTTTATTTTTTTAGTATTTAAACTTTAAATAAGGTTAATATTTGAATAATTAAAATTTTTTTTTATAATGTTGATTATAGTTTTTTTTATATATTTTACTGAATTTTTATAAAGTATATAATAATTTTAATATTATGAATACTAATAAAGTCAATAATGTGTATTTCACATATTAGTTTAAGTATAATATAAATTATTAAATAATTAAATTTGACAATTTTGCTTTATAAATCTTTCAAAAACTGCAATTCATTTTTAGGTGCACTTCATGCATTATTATAAATAAACTACTTTTTTACTTATAAAATTATTATAAATAAGTTGAATTGATAAAGTTTATTTAATATATATTCAATTAATTCAAATTCTTTTCTGTACATATAAATCTTCAGACAATAAAATAATTTAGTCATTCACCCATATTTGACTAATTTAATTAATGCAAAATTTAGAATTAATCATTTTCAAATTATAATAAATATTATTGAATTATTGTATTAAATAATTAAAAAAAGCAAAAACCTTTAATTTTAAACAAAGTTTACAAACCTGTTCAACTTTACTAAACCATCACAAATTTTTAAAAAATAATTTTTCTAATATAAATATTCTAGGGGGTTGGTGAAAAAATTTAAATAACTTTTTATTGTGTGTTACCTTAGTATATAATCATTTTTTATGTTAAGTTCAATTGATTTTTCAAAATATTTGTTATATTAATTTCAACATCAATATAATAATTTTTTTTTTTTCAAATTTATACCTCATAAACAATATTTTATAGTATTACTATCACTACAACATTAAGTAATTAATAATTTTTTCAAAAATGAATTAAACTATCAATTTAAAAGTACTTTCTTTTAAATGTACTCCTTTTTGAAGACGTAATAATTATAATTTTTTTTGTCTATCCCAAACAATTAGTAATTTAGTGATTATGTTGTATTATAGAAAATGTTTTTACTTATGATTTGTATTTAACAGGAAAAATTTAATTTAGTGTTGTTTTAAGGAACATATAGAAGTAAACGTTATATATTCTCACTCAATTTTGTATATTAAAGTATACACCGTAAAAATGTTATAAATATGCAAGTATATGTTTACCTAGCATTTATTGCATATACATATTAGTGGGCTTGGAGGAGCCCTAATAAAATTTCAGAAAAATACAATAATGATTATATAAAACAAATTCAGGGAGAGAATAACTACATGTAATGAGCTTTGAAAGAAATTGTATGTATATATTATGCAATATGAGGTTTAAATACATTAGAATAGTTTATTTTTATTATTATCAAATAATATTTATTAATAAGTATAACCACGTAGCAACAATAAAAATTGTTTATTATAACAAATAGTTTATAGTTGATCATTCGTGGTAAGAGCAGTATAGTTTTATGATAAAATATTTAAATGATATTACATACAAGTTTGGCAACTTGTATTTTCATGGGTACAGAATCGTGATGTTTGTGTAATATTTAATACTTTTTATTACACCCACATTATTATAAATATAATTTGATAACAAGTAAAAAAATTCTGTGATTCTATTGAAAAATGTTGTAGGTAACTCCATTTTAGAACTTATAATTCTCTAATAGAGCGTATAATTTATGGAATTTTTAAGAAAATAAGACTGAGTTAACTAATATAAAAGTCAAACTGTATCAATTACTCATCCTAAGTATCATGGTTTTTTATTGTGTAGAATACTTATCCAAAATAGAAGATAGAAGAAACTAATAAATTTATCATGATCACAATTACTGAGAACTTAATTGAAAATTTGAAGTATGTCACTTGATAGGTTATAAGGTTACTTTTTTTTTTTAACTCTACCATTAAATTTTATTTAGAATTTTCAAAAACTAAATTTTTCAAAATGTGTGTAATAAGTATTTACACATTAAAACCAAATCTTTAAACTGTTTTTATAAAGTTAATATTATAATGTTATAACTACCAAAAAATGATAAAAATAGTAAAAAAGTAAAAATAAACATGTAACAATTAATGAAAAATGTATAATAATGACAAAAAATACATAATTTCAAACAAAATGAAACAAAAATCAAAACATCAATCATAACTTAAAATAAAACCAAGAACTAACCTAAACGAAAACATATTGATGATACATTATAATATATAAGGTACTATGAATTTGGAGAAAATATAACTTGATCAAGCCAGTGTTTCTGAATATAAAAATTATGTGAGAAATATTTTCACATACAAGCAATGATGGGTTAATTCCATAAAAGTTTAAAAAAATATTAATAATATTTATTGAAAGAATGTAAGATAATCAATAACATTTAAATAACAAAATAAATAAAACATAATAAATTGGTAAAATTTAAATACTTCAAAATGAAAAACATAAATTCATAATGTTATAATTTTTTTTAATGTATAATGTGATAGTATTGTTAACATTTTAACTGTCATAACATAAAAACAAAATAATTAATTTAGAATTAAGCTCTGATAAAAACATTTATTTATATACTAAAGACTTATAGTAATTTAAAAATCTTATTTTTCTGATGTTATATAAATTATGTCTTGTGTGATTATTTTTATTCTATTTTATTTTATGTGGATATATTTTATCATGAATCTCCATATATATTTAATTTTTAAAGCTTTATATCATTAAATTCAATATTTATATAAATTATATTTGTTATTAGATATGCAGGCCAAAATGTTGAAGATATCAAGGTTTGTAGTTAGATAATATTCAATACCAGGATGTTGTACATAGTACTTTGAAGCTTTTCAGACAATGTTGCTCAAAAGACCATGGCAAGCTAAGCTATTTGGGTAAGCAATTTTTATAAGTTTAAAATTTGAGGTATATTTTTAAAATAAAGACCTTAAAATATGTGTAACAATGTAGATTAAATACACAACTTTTTGAGAGTAACACGGAAAAACACTGATGTATTTTTTTATTATAATTTCACTAATTGAAAGGCTTTATGCAAAAACAAAATAACCCCATTTCTTTTTTAAAGTTAGATTTAGATGGTTCTTAATTAAAATTAAAATGACAAATGATTTAAAAGTAAATTATTTTTAATTTTCTGGTAGTTTTATGCCACAACTCTCTAGTAGTCTAAAATTCTCAGACTTAATTCTATTTCAGTTCTATTATATTCAATTTGATTTTACTTAAATTTTATAAACAACTCTTTACCAAATAGGTCTCTGATTATTTTAAGGATTTCAATTTAATAAACAAAGTTATATACTTGAAGAAAATTCATAATTCTTCAAATTAAGATTTTTGAAATCGCTTCCAGATGAAATATATTTAATATTTTATATTAATTAAAATTCATTTATGGTTCAATCTATTATTTTATTTAATTAAAAGCCTAATGCATTCAATAAGCAATTTATTTTCTAGCAGTTAAGAAATAATTATGTTTATAATATTTTTAAATGTGTCTCCCATTATAAAAATTGTTCAAATGTTTAATTATTGACATTTAAATTGTAAAAATTTCAGTAAAAGTTTGATGCTATAATTTTTTATTGATACATTGTTATTTATAATCAAGAGTTTCCGACGTATTATCTCTCTATAAAATACCTAAATAGTTATTTAAAATATTTTAACCTAAAAAAATAGAAAAATAATACTGATTTATTTTAGCTTCGATGCGAAGCTGAGAAGGTATTGGTTTTACTATGATGTGTTATTCTTTTCTTTTTGTGTCTGTTACCACTTTTTCTCAGCTCTCACAGAACGGATTTCTTTCAACGATACATCAAAAAATCATAAATCATATCTAGTCAAAGACATTACCATCAAAAATTCAAAAAAATTCCCTTATTCTCCGTTAATGGGGGTAACCTCCAAAAAAATTACAAATTAATTTTTATTACTTAAAACTGCCATAACTTTTTCAAAAATGAACAAATCAATATAATTTTTTTTATAGATGCTTAATGTCTTTATCTATTATTTGGTATATTTTTTTCATAAATTTAACCCTTTACCTGCCCATAGGGAGATTTAAAATGACAACTTATTCATAAAAAATTAACTTTTGAAAGTGTTTCGAAAGGTCTGACACTTTTATATATATCTTAAATTAAAAATAATGTAATATACTCTACTATGGAAAAAAAAATTTGACCTCTAGACTTGTCTTCGTGGTGAAAATGGACATCAAAGTTAATAAAAAATTACGATTTTTATAAAATAATTCTTTTTTATATTTTTACCTTAATAATGCTATAATTTTTTATAGCATTATAATTTATAATGCTATAAATGTATGGATCAGTAAATTTTTGATTTTATTTTTTAGATTTTTAACTATATAATTCTATAACTTATTGAAAAGTGTATGGATCAACACAATTTTTTATGAGAAATAATATTTTTTAATAATTCCTTTTTCATTCAGGATATTAATAAGAAAATAACAGATCATGTAGCTTTTGGAATAATCCAAATTTTTTAAAATTAAACACGTTCTAAAGATTTGCATCGTAGCATTTTTTTTTGATAATGATTTTAATCACTGTCAGATATCATTATACTTGATCCAACTATGCCACATCACCACTGTGCCGCGACCCCCCTGTGCTGGGTTTTTTTTCGTACACCTGTTCATTAAACTTTGTTATAGACTAAAAGTATAATTATAAAATCATAAGTCTGTAAATGTTTTTTCATTGCAAAATTTTTGTAACCCGCTATATAGCAAACTGAAATTGTCCATTTTTGTCAATTTTTTATTGAGTTGATACTGTGTTGATGTTATTGAATACCAAAAATAAAAATAAAAACGAGTTAAAAAAAGCTAAGTTGTTGATTAGTTTGTTATATTTATTTATATTCATATTTATCAAATTACTCTCAAATATTATTTATTTATTAGCTTCGATGCAAAGCTGAGAAGGTATTGGTTTTACTATGATGTGTTTTTCTTTTCTTTTTATGTCTGTTACCACTTTTTCTCAGCTCTCACCAAACGAATTTTTTTCAACGATACGTCAAAAAATCATAAATCGTATCTAGTCGAAAATGTTACCCTCAAAAATTCAAAAAATTTCCCTCATTCCCCGTTAATGGGGGAAACCTCCAAAAAAATTACAAATTTAAAAATCGCTAATTTTCGAAATTTTTTCAATTTTTTTTATTTACAATAGCAACTTTTTTTACAAAAATTAACTTTTTCGACTTAATTTTTGAAAATGTTCCGGAAATACTGCGTCCTTTAAACATATATCAAATTAAAGCTTATTTTATGTACTATAAAATAAAAATAAAAAAATTTGTCCGGACGACCTATCTTCTATGCGCAAATGGCTACCGTATTCAAAAATATGCTATTTTAACAAATTTTTTTTTTTTTAAATTAAACACTATCTAAATATTTTCATCGAAGCGTTTTTTATGATAGTGATTTTAATCACTGTCAGATATTATACTTGATCCATCTATGCCACGTCACCACTGTGGCGTCACCCCCAGTGCTGGGTTTTTATTGTTAAATTGGTAGTGAAGAAAATAATTTAAATTACAAATATTATTTTATGATACTACAATTGTTTTATATTTTGTGTTTTTGTTGTTTAATGTTAGTAACTTATTTTAATGTTTAATTCCACTAGGTTTTGTTATCTTTAATAACTCTTGATCCAGCAAACATTTTGTGTAATTTTTTTAGGCTAAGAAACTTAAAAATTAATATTTAAAAAGCAAATAACAATGAAATTTAATTGTAACAAAAATTAAAAGAGTTGTTAGAAAAAGTAAGCTACTGCCTTATTTGTTGGGCATATCTAATGACATATTGATAAGTAAATATTAAACAAATACATTGTATTAGTTTAATTTTTACTGACAACTTAATAATTTGCATTTTCTTTTTCATAGAATTAATTTACATGATTTTTAAAAATTTATTAACTAAATAATTTGTTTTACTAATTTTTTTTAATTACATATAATATTTAAATTATTTACCAATTATATTTTTTAACTTTTTATATAATCGTAGAATAAAAATATCTAACTTAAATTTAGTATTGGATAATGCTTTGTCCAAATTTTAATGTTCGTTTTTTTTCTAATATCTATTTTAATGTAAATTCATGGCTACATAGTAAAAAAAATTAAAATTATTATAGGTTACCTAAAAAAAGTCTTATTCTGTTCAATAAGTGGATTGAAGTTATTTATCAGATTAAATTTCAAGAGTATGATATGATTTATGATACCAATCTCGTATCAACCAATTTTGCAATGTGTGATGATAAAAATTTAAAAAAAAAAGCATCTAACAAGTCTAGTGAAGAATTTATCTTATGCCCTTTATCGTCAGAAATAAGAGAAAATAATATTAATATTAGTCACAAAGATATTCGAAAAAAAAAAATTGTAGAGAGCATGTCATTAAATACCAAGTCTACATGTCAGTCGAATCTAGATTCTATTAATGTCATTCATGATGATAACGTAACATGTAAAGAAGCTAGTCCCGATGGAATAGATATAACAAATAATATGTCATCAAGAGAAACTAATATACTACCCAACAGTAAATGTAACGCTAGATTAACTTGTGTAAATGATAAAAGTTCTTTAGTCGTTGAAAACAATAGTACATCAAAAGAAACTGTATATGAGGATGTTACTTTTCGTCGAATTCCTATGAGAACGTATGGTAGAAGTAAGAAGTGTATTAAGCGTAAAAGTTCTTTTGATAACACAGATAATTTAGAAAAAAATTTACCCTACAAAAAAAAGAAAAAAAATCGTGATTCTTGTGCAAAAGAACATGAACAATCTTCTCACTCTATTAGAAGAAGTACGCGAATTACAAAAGGAAAATGGTCAAGTTCTAATGAAAATTTAAACCCTTATAATAAAAATTTTGTACATAGGATAACTATACCAAAAAAATCTACTAAAATAAATAACGAACAAACAAAAAATAACTTAAATAGCAAAATAACAACTCCTATAATTACTGAAAATAAAAATGTTAAATATAATATCAATCAGATGTGTGTGCCTGGATTACAAACAAAAAACATTTTACCTCAACCTAAGAAAGTTATAGAGAAATATTTTCTTCATGGACTTACCCAAAAACAAATTAATATGAGACAGTTTGATATATCTGATAAAATTCCTTATATATTTTTAAGACCCGTCAGTCCAGAAACAATTAGTCATTATACAAAAAAACCTCATTCTATAGAAAATAATTGTAATCCAGAAAATCATTTAGATTCTAAAAAAAATAAATCGCATGGTATTGGTTTAAGTGTTTCTACAGCATCTAAGTCAAATAGTACTACAATAATAAACCATGTACCCAACAGTGCTATTAATAGTTCATTCCATGTCCAAAGTACATCAAATACTAATAAAAAAATGATTGATAAATCTAAAGATGTCGTTCATCGTAGTGTATTATATGAATCTACTGCTTCAGAAAAAATCATAGCCCAAAAAAGAAAATTTCATCAAATGACAACAGATAATTTACAAAAGTCAACAAATTCAAAAAAGTTAAAGTTCTCTAACATACATGAAAACTGCAAGTCGATTAATGTGAAAAATCAGCTAAAATCTAAAATACTTGAAAAAAAATTAAATTTAAAAAAGGCTTTAATGCAGAATTTTCGTGGGATAAAAACGTTACCATATGAAATTCCTAAAGTCTCTAAACTAAAACAATCTAAACATGAAGAACAGAATATGTTATTTACTAATAAAAAAAAAGAATTGAGACGACGTATAACTCGGTCTAGTACACTTGTATGTCCAACTGTTTTTAAGAGATCTAAACGTATACAATGTTTTAATGATAAAAATGATGAGAAGATTAATGAAATTAATACAGAACCAACCAACACATACAAGTGGTTCACAAATATTAATAGAAGCCACTTATGGGATACTGATCTGATTTTGGAAAATAAAATGTTAACTGATTTTGAAGCGTTTGATTATTTAATGAAAATAGTGTCCAGTTTACAAAAATCAACATGTTCAGACAAAATTTATTTTTATAAAATGTGTTATGCCGAAGTTGCTATGTTGAGATTAGGTGTCAATACTTCTAAAATGACCTTATTCAATGAATCGAAACGAGTTCCTATATATAAAAGAAAAATTGTTACACGTGAGTCTCTCGATGATCTAATGAAATTGAGTGGTCGTAAGTGTCAAAAACGAGGTAAATATCTGAAAAATGTTTTCAAAGAAGGATATAAGGATTATATCGGCAGCACAGACATCACAAATGTTACCAGTGATAATATTTTGTTCGAAGTTCCTTGTACCTCTCAGACAAAATTTAAATCTAATGAAATTATCAGAAAGAAAGATGATTTTGCTGTGGATGATAACTCTAAAGAATATAAAAAAACAGTAGCCATATCTAATCAACCTGCAGAATTTATAAATTCAATTGATTATATCCGCATAGTCAATTCAGAATCGAATTGTTCTGATTCCGATTCAGAAGTTGACTTAAATATAATAGGGTGGGATTTTAATCGACCAATTCCTAGCACGTCAAAGGGTATTACAAAATGGCGGTACATAAAAGAAAATAGACGACAAAATTTACTCAAAAACGCATCTACTACAGATTCAGCTGTTGCAGTTGCTCTGAGTGAAATACATTATGAGCAAAATATAAATGATAGTCCTATACGAGATATCATTTCCATAAACAGCTATAATATTTGTAATAATATAGTTAATCTGTTTGACAAAAAAACTCAGTGGACATCCAAAACAGTCTCATACTTAAAATCTGTTATTAGCTGGTCAAAAAAACTACCGATTAAGGTAAATACATTAAAATTAAATTTGATAACTGAAATTTGCAATAATTTATTTTCAATTAAATCTCCAATTTTAAATTGTTCAATTGAAAATAGCAGAGACGAAAATTCACAAGATATATTATATCTTGAAAATGACCAACTTAAAAATATAAATTTATCCATATCAGCTACTCGAAATGCATCTGACACTCACGTATTTTACAATCATAGGGATAATAACATTTTAATTAATTGCTCGCTTTCAAGTTCTGAAATATTTGATCAGTCATGTTTGTTGTCCCTTATACAAACTAATAAAAATTCACGAAACACACAAAATAGTTTATCGAAAACAGAAACTAGTGCAACTGTAATTTTAAGCGATTTTAATGATATTAACTATCAAAGTTACGATTCCATTGTAAATAATAACGATAAACATATAGAAAATATTCAAAATAAAACCTTGAGTAGCATGTCAGATAATTATAATAGTTCTGCTGTAACTTGTCGAAATATTTTAAGTGATGTCAATACTTTCCTAGAAAATTTAAGTAATAATTCTTTTGTTGAATCTAGAGACAATATTATATTTATTACTTCAAATACTGCAGGAAAAAAGGGTGAAGGTAGTTTAGATTTTGAACAAACCAACTTACCATCTATCCAATATAGACTCAAAGGAGTTTGTAATCATAATAAATTTAACTTCGGTTATGATTTGGATGAATCTGAAATTAACTTAAGTAGAAATTCAAAAAACTTTATACAAACGAATATTATTAAAAATAATATAAGAGAATCAAAATCTAATAGCTCACAAACGAGACATAGTATTCAAAATGATATACAATATTCTAATATAGTATTAAACAATCAAGAGTTAAAATACGATTTTTCAAAAAGCAAAAATTCTATTTCTATACATGAAATTAGTGATACCGATTTATTTGATAAATGTTTGTTCAATTCTACAAACAATCCTAACTTCATTGATATTGATGCATTTAGAGATATTAACAACATCCAAACAAAAATAAAAACACCACAAAAACTAACTTTTCAATGTGAGTTAGTTGAAAATAAATCTCAAAAATTCAGTATAATTGAAGAATCTATGTCTAAAACTAATTTATGTAAGAACGCTGACAATATTTTGAATGTTAGCTTTCCTGAAGTTTGTAATGTTATTTTCCATGAAAATATGTGTAGTACCACAAATGAAATACTAAATAAAAGTTTCTTAGAAATTCCTGATGCTAAAAGATGCGAAGAACGTATAATCATAGAAACACCATTAAATAAAACATTAAATGAAAAAAAACTATTTATGTATAATGATGACAATTATAGTAATACTTGTTGGATAGAAAATAAATGTAATGATAGTTTCAAGAAAACCAATTATAAATATTCGAGTAAAAATTATGAATATTGTGTTAATAAAAGGGTAAATTATTTAGATGATTCTAGTTACAATTTTCGTGATAAAAGTCATAATTTTCTTAAATTTTTAAATTTTAAAAAAAATAAAGTTACATGTTTTGATTATTATAAAGAAAACGCAATTTATAACGATGGCTTGAAATTAAATACCAAAACTCTTAAAATATCCGTTGATATAAATTGCATACATAATTTCACTATAAATAATGTAGAATTTGCTGAAAAGATGATTATGAATATGTTGAATATATACAGTTATAAACTATCGAAATATGACTATATTCATATTATAAAAAAATTATCTAATTCCATTGTATCTGAATACCTTAATTCGCCTACTGTCAAATTTCTTCAACGCCCAGCTAGTGATTATACTTTAGTATCATATTCAAAAAAAAATAAGACAATTAATACAAACAATTTCGACACTAATTTCAATAATAATAGTCACGTCAAAAGTCAAGGTCAAAGTAATATCGAATATATAGATGGATGTGTCAATAGTAACAGTTATAACTCAATTTTTACAAATTTACCTCATGTCTTCAACCATAGTTATGTTAACCATGTTTATGGAAATAAGTTATTTAATTCAAATCATTATATTAAAAGAAAATTAAATGCTCAGTGTAGTACAAATATAAAAAAATTTAAACGATCCATAATAAATAATGAAAATTCAACAAGTTTACCTTTAACAATCCAAAATCTGGCTCAGCATTCTTCTAAAATTGTACACAAATTAAATCTATGCGTCAGTCATGTACTATCATTTTACACAGAAAATAGTAATACTAATCATTTCAACAATATTGCAACTTTGAATAATTTTAGTGACCGTAATGCGTCTAATACAAACTCTGTTGCTGATAAAATTCAATCTATTGCTCTCAATAAAAACACAATTGCTACTTCAAGTAATAAATTACTTTTTAATTCGTGTTTATTAAAAAATAGTGAAACTGTTTTACAAGAAAATACGTTTGTCAATTTTTTGAAATATTCCAATAGTGTGGATAACTTTTTTAATAAGTCATTGATCAGCAGCTGCTTATTGAACTCTCATAATCTAGTAAGTAATAACGACCTAAAAGATAAACTTCGTATTTCAATTTATGAAAATTCTATAGCGCAAATAAATAAAAGTAACCGAAATTTATATAATATCTCTAAAATGAAAAATAGATTTAATCAAGATATCAGTACTACCTCTAATTTTAAAATGTTTAGTATCACTTCTGACGAAGATTCGCAAAATGCAACTGATGGTGTTAGTGGTATAACTGAGACCAAACTACCAAACCATGATGAAGTATTTATTTCTGACGTAATTTGGAATAAATGCAATTTTTCTGGAGCTTTTAATGATAGCATGAGTACATTTAATTCAAGTAATATATGTAACATTTCTGTAAATGATCAAAATATTGTACAGAACAGTAAAACTTTGCTTACAAATAGACCCATGTATGAATTACTTTTAAATAAAAATAAAACTTATCAAATTGTAGAAAATGATGGTCTGACAGAAAAGAATAATTCCATTTGGAGTATTTCTGATGACAGTACCAACTCGAACAGTACCAACAATACGAAGAATATAATATTTAATGAACATAATATTTTTTCTATAAATATTGATAACAGCGTTGATTCTGACAATGATAAAGTAATTTTAATAAGCGAGTCTTCGGAGAATAGTTTTAACAATTCTACTACCTTAAGTGATAGTGAAAATACTAATTCTGTTAAGTCAAGCTATGATGAAGAAAGTATTATTCGCAATATCAATATACTCGAAATAGACGAAGCAGATTCAAACTTTAGCATTGTCCGTGGTTTCAAATCACCTTCACCCGGAGAAAATGAAAGTTATTTAGTTGATAATTCTATTGATAATACGTCGATTGATTGCTCATCCACTGATAGTATATATATGAATCATAATGATGGAAGAAACAGCGATTTATCAATTATTTCAAGTACTACATCAAGTCTTAATACTTGGAGTAATATTGATACTTCATCATCTAGTATTGTAAGTACAAGTTTTAGTAGTTGTAGTTCAACTAAATCTATGATAAAAGAATTAACAAAAAACGTCACCAATAAATGCTCAAATTCCAAAATTGTTGATGTGATTGGTGATATGAATGATTCATCAGAAAATAGCCTAATAATTCAAAATGATAATAGTATCATTAGTACATCAAATTCAGGTTCTTATATATATATCGCATCAGATTTTACATTAACTGGAAAAGATTATTCTGGATCTGAGAATAGTGACTACATTGAAAATAATATTAGCAAAACAAAAAGATATATTCTGAATGATGAAACGGTTAAAAACTCATCAATTGTAAAATGGATTGAAAACACTAAACCTATTACTATAAAAAAATCAAAAGCAAATCTAAACAAATGTACAAATTTGGGTCAGACCTTTGACGAAGTCATTGTGATTTCAGACGCCGAGAATGATAAATCTATGTATGAAACTAAAATAAAAAACCACAATAATATTTTGTTAGACGACACATTGAAAAATACACAAACTCCAGAGCTATTGAATGCTTTCAACAATATTAATAAAAATTTCGTTGGTATCAGATCTCCAAAAAAATTTAGTAACGACACTACTTGTGAAAATAAATTGGAAGAAAATGTGTCTATAATAAAGACGATAAATATTACTGGATCAATGTGTAATAATTATAAAAATAAAGGTTCAGCTGACAACATTAACTACTCAGATAATGACAATTCTTGTGACAGTAATACTTCAAAAAGTAATTACCATGACATAAACATCGAAGATATTAGTAACGATAAAAATAAAATGTTACATACGTATGATTATTGTAAAAATAAATTAGAAAAAAAAAACCATATAGAGTCCGAAATAAATAATGTAGATAATTTGTTTCCTATAAGTCAATTGGTTGTATCTCATAACTCTTTCGCCGATGATTTAAATCTAGGTATATATAAAGATGATCTTGCAGTGTTCAAATCCCCAGTCAGATACAATACAGAAGTCAATGAAAATGATTTTGATATCAATCGACTTTCTGGCGAATTCAATGACTTGTTGGGTGTAGAGAGTAATTTTGCTTGCAATTTCAGTGATTTTGAAAATGAAAATAATGAACTTGCGTTTCAAGAAAATTTCTTTAATAATAATGTATCTGAATCTTCTATAAACGAAATTTCATTTTTACGTTGTTTAGAAAAAAACAGCATTCCCGTTGAACTTCAAGATAATATTTCAAAAGATTGTTCAATCATAGAAGAATCTAACAAAAATTCCCCTAACGAAAATACTGAAGAAATTATTATTAAAAAAAATGATAAATTCATAATTAATTCACTAGATAATTTTAATGTAAAATCTGACATCAATTTAAACCAACGAACAATTTTCAGTTTAATTAAATCCGATTCTCAAATAAAAACTTCTTTAAAGTCATCGTCTAACATCCTCAATAAGAACAGACAAATACTTGAATCTACTACTTCTAAAAAACAAAGTCAAATGTATTTAGAAAACAACATGAATCTAAATGATCAGATTTATTCTAGTCTTCAAACTATATCTCCAAATTATTCCATATTACCTGATCCTGTATCTACTACTAATTTTCCTCTTAATTTAAACGATATTGATTTTGAATTGGCTGTTTCTAGTGCTCTTGCTGATGCAAATAAACACGAGAGTTATCATGAAACAGTCAACAGTTTCGACGCTGCTACGCATAATTTTCCCAACGCTATCATCAATGTTGCTAGCCAAATTCCAACTTACGATGATGCCATTACAAGGAGTTACTTTAATAGCATAAAAGCTTTCGAAATGCTTAGTATAAAATCTCAAAATCCAAATTATTCTCCTACAAATATTAATAATATATCCGAAATTGGCAAAAAGTTTAATGAAATTCGTGTTTGTAATAGCTACACTAAGAAATTGAATGATTTTAATGATGATCGGGGATCACCCGCTGTTAAGTTATCAACATCGAACTTACTAACAAAATCTCTAGACAATAACAATGTTAGCATTGTTGGTAATATGATTTATGAGGATATTAGTGATCCAGAAGATGAAACTGTTTCTTCTACACTTATGACTCCATCGATAAAACCTATGACACTTCCAAAACTTTGCTATTATAAAATTGATGATGCTGTCGAATCAGTTTCACTTCAAAATAGTATTAGTGATGACTCTTCGGTAAATCCTATAACAAATCACTCTCCACGCGATGTTGATCAAATAGAAAACCCGGTTATTGATCCTCATGATAAAACATTAAATAAATGTGATATAAACAAAGAAGTAATAAATGAATCTATAACTTATGGGAAAATGTGTGAGTCTACTATAAGTTATCCAGAGACCTATCAAACTATTACAAATGAAAATACCACCATTAGCCCTTTTATATCGTTCGAGAAAGAATTTGAAGGTGAATCTATGAATCTTGCTTGTACAGATGATATTTCTTCTAATGGTAATTTTCAGGATATCATTAGTGATATCATTGTACAGCCTGCAGCGAGTAATGAAACAGTTTCTCAAAGTTTAAATACATCAAATATATATGAAGATATTAGTTCACCCGAACAAAACACAACAAATAAGTTTGACCCTATGGATACCTTAAAAGAACTTGAAACTAGTACTTTCTCTATGTTCAATAAAGGTCACAAATTGTTAAGCTTAGAGGGAAGGGTTATTAATACAAGTGATATTGTTAGTTTAAGTATGGAAAATGGATTCGATTTTGTCAATTCTATAATTGATTTTGACAATTCTGGCGCTCTAGACGACTATGACTGTATAAGAGCTATCCATGATTTCGACATTAATCAATTTCAACAAGATGATGAGATTTGCGATCCAATTGAACATCTTTTTGACGACAATACTCAATTGACTGACACTGATCAATTCGATATTGATGAATGGAAGTTGTAAAACGTATTTTATCATCAAATATATTAATGTAAATATTTTAATTTAAGTATTATTACTATAAATATTTTTCTGTTTAATATGAGTTCTAAATTAATTATTCACTTATTTTATTAATTGTTAACCATTTATTTGTAAATTAAAAAAATTGTTGTTTAAATATTACTATTAAGTATTTTTCATCATAATGGATATTATTATTTTGATAATTAATTTTCGTATTTAAAACGATATCAATTTTTAATTTAATGAAATAATTTAATTTAAATGTTATTATATTTCATACATTTTTATAAACTCTACATTTTTAAATTTAAAAAAAAAATACTACCATATTAATTTTCAAGTTAACGTGTCTCTGAAAATTCATTTGACTCGGCAATTTATTTGAAGTACTAACATGGATCCAAACTCCAGCAAAAATATTTTTTACGATATGGAAATTTTTGAAGATGGCATAATTCATCGGTGGACTGCTTAATTTTGAATTTATAAAAATTAAATGATTTTTATTTTTAATAAATTTATTTTGTTTTAAATTTTAACTTAACAATTTTTTTATTTTTGTGTTTTTTTATATATATTTGCAGTTAAAAATAAGAAATAATTTTTTTAAATTAAAATTTCACCTAATCTATATTTTGCGAATTAAATTATAATCTAACGTTTTCAATTGATGCTTTGAAACATTTTTTCAATTTTCAAAAGTTGTGACTACATTTTAATTTATAATATTAATATCATATGTGATTTTTTAATGATTTCAAAATCTAAGTAAGAACAAGAATAATGCAATAAAGAAGGTAGAGTATTTTGTTTATAATAATTTTCCATAATATTTCTTTTAATTAAAACAAATTTTCCAGTCTTCAATGATAAATAATCAGAAAAATATATCTACAAAATAATTTTTTTTTATCAAAATATTACTATAAATGTGGGATGAACATTCATTTTATACTTCGATATTTTTTAAATAAATATTACAGAACATTTATTATTTATTTCTTAAATTATATTCAATTGAAAAACTCAATGAATTGATATTTATGTTAAAAAAAATAAATTAAAAATTACACAGATAATTTTTTTGCATTAATTAGCATATTGTAAATTATTTATGTTAATACTAAAATTATAGTAACTAAAATTAATTATATAATAAACATATAGTATAAGGATTTTGTATTATAATTGTATAAAATATTTGTTTTCTTGAACAATTTTTTAGAAAATGGGTTATTATCAGGGTGCGTTATACAATTAAATAAATAAAATTTAAGATTGAAGTTAATTATTGCATCATTCTATTAAGCAATAATATTGATACTTTATATTTTAAAAAACTTAATGATTCGTGAAAAATATTCAACATTTCTCAAGATAGCTAATGAAGAATAAAGGTTATTATGACGTATATAATATTCATTTTAATTAATATTGCACAATGATCAAAAATATTTTCTTAATATTATATTTTAATTTCTTTTTGTTTCGATCTAATAATAATATGCGCAACTTGTATTTAATTATTTCTTTAAAGTAAATTTAAATTAAATATTGTTGTGTAGTAACTAAATTTAAAAATCTTTTCCGTTGATTCTGTGTGGTGTTTTAGTAAATTTTGGAGTTATATAACGAATTCTTTCAATATATATTTTTGAGTTATAAAATCAATAAAAAACATTTTACGTGTTACAATTCTTAATTATTTACTTATAATTAACAATGATTTTTTGTCGTGTATAATTTTTCAAAGTATATTTATATATTAAAATATACATTTATATATTTGTGAAAGAAATACGTGTTATTATATTACAAATCTAATTTAAATTTTTGAGTTGCTTAATTTTAGATTGAGGCTGAAATTAGTATTTTATAAAAAATTATTAAATGCGCATGTTCTGTTAAAATAAAAATCTCTTTTAAAGTTTTGATGTCTCAAAATGTTCAATGTACATTACGAATATTATAATATATAATATTATGACTCCACTATTTAAATTCCAAGTTACTGATGCATATTGTTAATTACGTAACATTTTTTTTTGTTTACTTTGCGTAAAATTTTCATTTATTTTCAATTTTTTTATATTTAAATTGTAAGCTGTTTTTACCTATTTTATACCCTTTTGCAAACCAATTATTTAAAACAAATGTAATTATTAATTAAGTTCTTTTTGTTTAAAATTTAAAATTTGTTACATGTAATTTTCAATTAATATTTTAATTTAAAATATTTATTATTTTGTGTGTAAATCATAAATAATACTTATTGTTTAAATTGGTTTAATTATGTATACAATATTTAAGTTCATCAAATAAAATAATAACCGAGAAAATTAAAATGATTTTTATTCATAATATTTATACACTATGGTAAATGTTGGCAATGAACTTGAAGCAATTCGTTACAAGTAATATGGAACCACTACAACTATTATTATTTATATGAATACAAACAACTAGTGATATTTACTAATTTTAAGTAATCAATTTCTTTTTAACTTATAACCAATTTTCAACGTTTTTAATTCATTAAAATTAATTTAAAATACCTCACAATTAAAATTATTTATAATAAAGTAAACTAGTTTTAACTTAAAATTTTTTATTTAAATATACAAATTACTTAAATGTTTTTCAATAAAAACTTAATTTCTATTAAAATGAATACCAGCAAAGCAAATGAATTTTATACGAAGCTGTCATGGAGTCAAGTTATTAGAAGATGAAAATATTATCAATTCGCCAACTGCGCAGTTTTTTCACGATTTGATCTTTTATTAGAGAAACATCAATATATTTTTTTTCATCATTATTTAATTTAAAAAAATTAATTTTTATCATATATATATATTTTTTTTATTATTAAATTATTAAAAATAAAAAACAATAGAATAATGAAATTTATTATTATATTTAAATTTATTTTTTCTAGTCATCCATTAAAACAAAATCTAAAAGTATATAATTTTTAAGAAGTCAATGACAATCGGCAATACATATGTAAGTATAAAAACTTAACTTCTCCACTGCCGTTAAATCACTCAAAAACGGTTCAGTTCTGTCGTGACAGTGCTTGTTGGAAGTTCTGTTATAGCTATTTTCGTAGGTAATTCTTATGATAAAACTATTCCATAAGAAAGTATTTAATTATACAATCATTTGCATTTAATATTTTTTTTATTTGTTGCCACTATTAATCAACTTCTACTAACCTAATATTATCAAACAATACGTAAAAAACATTATCATATTTGGTTAAATGACATTACCCCAAAAGTATTTAGATTTCCTCTTAAAATTCGTTTAATTTTTATACGTTTTCTATAAATACCATACACAGCTTTTCTATTAGTTGCCTCACACAAAATACTGGCTCCATGTTGACTCACCAGGCATAAATCCAAACTGGTTTTTAGATACCGATGTCTCATATCTTACTGTCTTATCTTTTACCTTCTCACAAATTTTCATATTATGACTCATAAGCTTTATACCTCTATAATTTCCATGCTCCTGTATATCTCTTTTACCTTTAAATATCGGCACCGCAATACTATTCCTCCATTCATTTGGAATTTTCCCTTCTAAAAAGATTTTATTTAAAAGTTCCTTCAACCACCTTTTGCTATCACCACCTAATATTTTCGATACTTCTACTGGCACTTCATCTGATCCTACTGCTCTATTCTTTTTCATTGATGCCACAGCCTCCCATACCTCTTTCTCACTAATTAAGTTTGTCAGTTCCTCATTCTACGAAATATCCTCTAATGCCTCTTTGGGTACTCCTCATTCAGTAATTTTCCAAAATATCCTTCCACATTTTTTTCACATCATTATCACTCGATAGCACCCTCTTATTAACACTTTTTATACACCTCACATAGTGATAATCTCCAGAACTTTTTTCTCTTACTTTTCAAGTCTATAGACTTTTTTTAACCTTCCTTTGCTCCTAGCCTATACAATTCATCATACCTCTTGAACTTCACCTTACTTACTGCTAACTTAGCTTCTTTGCACAAGCGTTTATACTCCATCCAAACTTCTATCCTTTTGCTCTTTTGTCATACTTTGAACTGCTTTTTCTTACTCTATATGATTTTTTGAACGTCCTCATCCCACCACCAGGTTTCCATAATTCCTAAAATTCTATTCTTACTCTCACCAACAATCTCTTTTGCGGTATTTTTTGCACAACAATCTATTCTACATATCATTTATGTCTACCTCGACATTCTACAGCATCCTCTCTTTTACTTTCTTTAAAAACTTTTTCATTTTTTCCTCTCAATTTCCACCACCGGATTCTCGATTTTCTCCTGTGTTCATTTTATTTTTGTATATTCTCTTCCCAGTACACCACAACTCCATTACCATCAGTCTATGTTGTGAAATTACACTCTCGTCTGAAATAACTTTACAATCTTTTACTCGTTTTACACACTCTCTCTTCCACATCAAATAATCAATCTGTGATTTATTACTCCCATTCTTATAAATTATTTAATGTTTATTTCTCTTTTTAAAATAAGTATTAACCACAGCAAGATCATACGACATTCTGAAATCCAGAATTCTTTTTTCAGCCTCATTCTTCCCACTAAAACCACACCTACCATGTACTCTTTGATATTCTCTTCTCTCATTATCTACTCGTCTATTCATATCTCCACCTATTAACGCATCCTCTTACCGGGTATTCCTTGCATCATCTCTTCCATCTCTCTCCAAAACACTTCCATGTCTTATTTCATCACATTCTACTTATGCGACTATAATTCTGTCACTTTTCCTAGCTACTTCTAATACTTTATTTTTCATCTCCTTATCCATTATTATCCCTACATCATTCTTTGTATTAAACTTATCTAAGTATATTATTTTATTACCCTCATCTATTTCCCTTGCTTTCTCTCCCTTCCAACTAGTTTCTTGCACACAACAAATATTAACTATTCTCCTCTTTAATACTTTTACTAATTCTCTACTTCTACAATTTTATGTTCTAACATTTCACGTAACTAGTGTTAATTTATATTTATCTTTCTCCCTTATACACTGGGATAAAGAAGAACCAATAATAGGTTTCATACAAAACTAAAATTTGTTTTTATTATTATTATAATTTTTTGTTTAAAATTATATTATTACTTCAAATACAAGATTAATTGGTAATAACCTAAATAGTTTAGATATAATAATATGAATTAAGTCGTGATCAGAATATTATAAATTTCATCAAATTATAGTTATGTAATATTGACAAATAGGTATAAAAATATACTTATTTACAGAATTAATAAATATATATTGTTTTAACCAACTGTCAAACCTAATAACAATTGTAAGTTGTCAAAATCATCGTAGGCATCATTGAAGCTTTATATTTTATACAATGAACAAGACATAAGTCTTAGCCTCTTACCTTGAAGCCCAGAAGATATGTGTCCATTTAACTTTGGATTTTAAGTCATTTTAAAAAATGTATGTTGCATGTATGTAACATAAATACAATATTTTATAAGTCATATTATAATCTACGAAACGAAATGAGTGATAATACAAATGCAACACATCGTATTTTTACTATTAATATTTTAAATAAAAGATATATTAATAAGTAAAATAAAAAATTTTTACGCTTTTTCAGTCCTTCGCCGAAGTTAAAAAACTATAAATTAATATTTAGTATATATAATTTCATAAAAGATAATAAATTCAAATGGGATTCTTCGTAAAGTTAAAGAAATCGACAAACAATTATAATAAATTGCCAAATTTACATGTTAATGTAAAACAAAGTAATTAATTCAGTGGTCAACGATAGTTCCCTATTTAATCTAGAGTATTTTAATAGTATTCGAGGTTGTTAAATATAAAACAAAATCTCTTACATTATGACTAAAAACTGTTTATTAATACAATATAAATATATATATATATTCTAGCGAAAATAAACTATTTTCATCATGAGCTCTAGAAACTGATATCCCATTTTTTTTTTTTTATATATTAAACAAATTGTTTAACTAAATGCATATTTTATTAATAAATATGTAACTAATATATTATTGCATAAATTTGAATAATTAAAAATAATAGTAAAAAAACATTAGAATTAAAAATAAAAAATTACAAAATTTGTAGCGTACGATTACGTCTCCGAAACGACATAATTTCATTATGTCCTGATGTATTAAAAATGATATCTTCTTTCGCGTTATAAAACACAGCTCTCCACTTGTATGTATTTTCCCACCATTTTGTGTTCGAAGCATGAAAAACGCTTATAATAGAATCGATATTAAATGTCGCATTTCTTACTATATATTGACCCTAATTAAAAATAAGCTTTTATGGAATGTTAACAAATAGATATCTTATGATTTAATGATAATTTTAGTTAGTTTATTAAAAATTAAATTAAAAACTAGTGTTCTTAATTATAATTATACCTATATTACTTATAAATAATTATTTTCAATCTAGCCGTTCGATTTCACTTTAAATAATTATGCGGAGAAAATATTTTTTAGTTTCATTGATTATCAGTAATTAATAACTTTCTTAATTCTTCCCTTATACTTTATAAAGATATAAATTTAATTTTGTTTAATGGCAACTTATATATTAAACTAGCTTATGAAGTAGAAAATTATTGAATCTAAGTAAGAAAATATCGATAACACATTTTAACCCATTTTTTGGAAGTTTTAATCATTAGTCATTTTTCGACTATACTCTTAAATATTAAATGAGAATAACTTCCAAAGCACTGGTCCATAAGTTGTTAACGACCAGTCAGATTTAATTAGGTTAATTCTTATTTTATGAGCTAGTTAAATAACATGTATATTTTAATTTCTAAAAAAAATATTTAAATTATACATTTGAACATTAATTATCAAAACAGTTGGCATTATTTGAAAGTTAATACATTTACAAATTATTATATATTGCATCAATAAAACAATTTATTATTAAATAAAAATAATAAATTTTAGAAAATTTAAAAATAACACAATTTTCCCTTTTGTTTTTAGCTACAAAAATTTTAATGCTATTTTAGAGGAATTTTCAATTTTATTTATTTTTTTGTACTTTTTGATGATAATTTTTATGTGATTTAATTTTAAAAAATATGACTGAACGATAATCATTATTCTTATTCAATTTGTATAATGATAGATTAGTTTTTTTTGGAAAATTAATATTTCTATTGTAGTTATACTTTATTTTTTAACTTGTTGAGAATTCAGAACTATTTATTAAACGACAATAAAGAACTCACTTTGAGATCACATGTTATATCTTGGTTTTTATATCCAATCGATAAAAATATAAAAATTGCCATTTCATTGCCACAAATATTAAAAACATCAAAATTCCTGATATTTACGCAGTCAATAAACTGTTCTTTACATTTTGCGAAGTCTAAATTCACCTTCAAAAGAAAAAATCTATTATATTACTTCTGAGGAAGTAAATATTAATATGAACATTATTTCAGCTTATTAATATAAACGGTTCCGAATATTTATTGATTTATTACAAAATTTAATGGACAGAATTTAGTAGAGCATTTAATAGAGACAACTTTAAGCGTCAAATTGTTTTTACTAGTCATTTATTACAACTCCATCTGAGACTGTTAAATGGATCTAGAACACTACACAACTCAATTACTTTAATCAATCATTAACTTATTCACTTATATAGAAGGCCAATTATATCGTTGAATCAAAATTAGTACAAATTACTTGATTGACTCGTTTTTTGGGTCCCATCAAAACGTAATAACTATATTACCTATAAAAGCTACACAATACAAATTTCGGCATGTATTTTGTTGAGTTTAGTGTCATGAGCGAGGAAAATAAATCACCTCGTTGACTCTTGAGATATATTTATATATATATATTAAACAGGATTTATCCTATTTTTAAAAAAGTGCAATTTTGCTCCATTAAGAATCTATATTTATAGATCCTTAAAATAGTAAAAATATGATACATAAATACTATTAAGACCTATTAATAACTAATATTAATGATTTCATTTTCCATCAGCCAAAGCACAATCAATAATTTCAACGACCAGGGCGTATGTTCCAATATTTACATCCTATTAATACGATCAAATAATAATTAATGTGCATATTAATTTATCGACATTTTACGTAATAATGTCTGGAGAAAATATATTCTTTGGACCCTATTTCTCTGTTTGATAGAATACATATATAAACATTTATTTATAGTATAAATATTAGATAATTTTATTTGAATTATTAAATGACTATACTTACTCGATTAACAACTACACTTCTGTTCAAAATAAAATTAACATCAATTCTATGTTTTGAAATATACTGTTTAATTGTAGCTTCAATTGTTTTTCCATAAATATTATGTACATTAAAATCAAATGTTTTAAATCGAAGTTCAAATTGCCGTCGTGATAATATTTGAAACTGATTTTGTGGGATAATTTTATCCTAAATATTTAAATCACGTTTAAATAAAGAACTAAGTACCAACTTGTTTAGTAAATTACCATTGTTTCTGCGAAAAATACTAACATCAATCCAATGAAAAAAGTACTTGTTGCTTTCATGTTTATCTTATAATAATAATTTTTAAGATTGAAATATCAAATATTTACTACAATTATAATCTATCAAGGTAAAATATACATTGTACAATTTTTATTATTAAACAATTTAAAAATAAAAACAGGTGAATAAAAAAAGCTACTACAAAAATTTTAAATGACACAATTAGAATAATAATAAAAGTATACTATCTAAGTTCACTATCTACGAAATACAATAAAAATAGATTAATTCCTATAAATTGCAATACCAAAATTGTTTTAATTTCTGTCAATTGAATACTATGCAATGCTTCATTGTTATACACTTTTAATACATCTATCGACACAATGATTTTTTTTTTTTTTTAATAGATCTCGTCTTCCGAGTATTGTGTATCTTTTGATCGCAAAAATTAAACTATTCAACTTTTTACAATTAAAAAACCTAGTTAATAGAGTAATATAAGTTCAACTAGATAGAACCCAATCCCACAATTGTTGACTTCTACCCAAATTTAGAAAACTATGTATATTGTACAAATACATTATAATATTACAATACTATAATAATATAAAAACGATTAGGAAGAGAGAAAATACAATAAGCCTTCGTAGAATTAAATTATAAAATTATAACTAAAGGAGTTTTAAAATTAATTCAAATGACGACTTGTTTAATAATTGATATTAATTTAACCAAAGAAAGTAAAATTTTTGATATTATAAAACTAATGATGAATAATATCAAATAATATTCAATTTACTAAATACCTAATATATATATATTCATTCATCTCTATGTACAAAAATAGAGTTCATGTAAATGATTAAATTATCATTATTATTAATAAATTATTTATTTTCTCAAAAAGGAGCAAAACATAAAACAAATTTCTTCTACTTTGTTTTTGACTGACGCTAATTTCAATTTTAAACTCATAAAATTCTAATTCTGATTATTACTATTTTTATCATCGTTTATTTTTAATTAAAAAAATACCATAACAAAATTAAATTACAATTGTAAACTGATGTATTGTAATTTTACTTTGAAATATTAATTTTGAAGCCTACTAAAATCAACGACAAATATTAACAACAAACATTATTAAAATTAATTTTATCTATCCTAAATCCATTATGGATTGTCATACAATACATAAAATCAAATTGTATATTTTAAATATGTTTGATTGAATATATTAACACCAAGAATCGAACATAATTCTTCATAAACTACATAACTTATTGTCATCGTTGGTAGAATTTTTATGAGAGCAGGTGTGAATCCTCTATAAAGACCTGGTAAACCTGTTTTCTTGATATTTTTCATAACAACATGAATAAATTTTATCTTGGGCTCACCTGGAAAGTTTTGTCAAGTATTACTGTTTATAATTTAACATCATATGTTAGAAAATATACTATTCAAAAAATTGTTAGTTTCAATTTATTATAGAAAATTAATATTTTATCTTTATATTCTCTCAATAATATATTTATGACCTCAAGGTAATTTTTTAACTTTTAATAGTGACTTTACGCTACAACAAAAATTTAAATATTCGTAATTATCAACTTTCTATAGAGATTTCAGAAATTTAAAGCAATTATAAACTTAATATAGAGAACATGGTACAAAATTATTTCTTTAACACACCTTTCCAAAGTTTTATTTTAAATCAATTTTGTCACAAAATTTAATTAAATTTCAAAAATGTGGTCGATAAATAATGTAATAAAATCTAATTAAAAATATTATGAATAAATTATGTTAAAACATAAATAAACTTAACTCTCTTAGAATTTATTATAAATTAGTCATCAGTTTTCCATATAAAATTTAAACAATAAAACTGATAAAATATCCTTGACAAACATGTCTATGTGTGAAAAAACATAACATATTTTTTTAGATTAATTTCAAGAAGATCATGAATTCATAGTTTTATTGTTTTCAAAGTAAGCAACGGTTTTTTTTATAATATAATTTAAAACTAAAAATTGCTGACGGTTCTTTGAGCCACCCAGTTATTGACAAGACATTAAATTTAGATTACACCACTTCTTGTACTTTAGAAGCGTTTCTTACTTGTTTTTGTATATAAAATAATAAAAAGGAAGTTACTTTGTTAAAATGATGAACTAAAAGTATAAAGATTAAATTCACGCAATAACAATTTTAAAAAAAGATTCTTATTGGGTTGGGGTAGAGTGACTTTTCCTGGAACCAAATATAATAACAAATTTACCAAAAACGTTCTTAGTAAATTAGCACCTTGCAAAAAAATATGTTTGTAATGTACCTGGTTTATGTGTTCTGGTAAAAGTATTAATAATCTAATAGTGTTCAATATCTTTAAACATATTTTCTTTTAAAAACGGAAGTATCTAATAGAGTTTGTCAAAAATATAGAATTATATCAATCAACAAAATAATTTATGTTTATCAGCTTAATTTATAATAATCATATATCTTATAATTTATAGTATTAGGGTTATAATAAGGTTCAAGAAAATAATCGGTTTTTAAGCAAATAAGTCCTACGTTTATATAAACGTAAACTTAAATTGTCATAAATTTTTATGACAATTGAAGTAACAAAAAAAAGAGTATTTGCATCAAAAGGATTATCCTTAATAAAATTATATTATACTTCATTGACATTTTTATACTTGAAAATTTATTTTACTATAAAAAGGGATAAATTATAATATTTACTAACTAGTAGCAGAAAAATTTCTGTTACCAATTTGTATAAAAATCATGTGTTTATTTTATGCTTAATTTTTCAAGAATGCGATAAAAAAATAAAATATTTTTTTTTCAACCTTGCAAATTATGACTACAATATTGCAAGTTAAGTAAAATAAAAGTTTCATTCAGAAACATCGTCATAAAAACCACCATGGATTAAAAGCCAATACCGAATGACATACACTTTAACATATTTTTGTTAAATAAAGTAATAAAGACAAAATTGTATTTATAGTTTCTTAAGCACTTAGGAAGTTGTCAAGTAGGAATTTGTTTTGATATATTATCAAATAAAAATCTCTCAGAGTACAAGCTGAAGTATCAACATTTTAATTTATCAATCTATTATGAGATATTATGTATAAGTATTTCCACGATTAAACTATTAACTACTTTATTAAAAATGTTTAAATAACGTTTAATATTTCTTAAATATTATCGAAATATTAAGATTACTTTTATATTAAAAATTAAGGCAGCCAATTTACTTTTAGAGTAATGGTAACCAAAGAAACAAAGCGAACCAAATTTAATCCTGAAAAGTAAAATATCATAATTTACTATTTGAAATAGACGAAATTTTACATTTAATTTAAAACGGAAATAATATTTAGATAGCGTTAAAAAAAAATAAACAAATATAACAAAATAATTGTGTCCATATGTTTTATTTATAGTTAACTACACTACAAAATTAAAAAGTTCACTCTGATCGTTTAATAAACGGTAAACAGTACCTTTTAAAAGTGAATATTATATTTTGAAATCGGTCAATAAAGGGGAGGAGATCTGACATTCTGCGTATATCGTCTGCTCCGTATACGTTTTCCAATTACTTTTCAAGTGGCTCGTATTAAAGCTACTAATTCTCTTCCACGATAGGAAATTAAGTTCAAAGGGTAGATTATAAGTAAAATATGAAAATGAATGTTGTTTAAACAATCCTCTTTAATGTTATTTCTCAAAGATATTTTCGTAGTTGTTAATTATTATTTCCCAGTAAAATATTAGAACATTTTGTTAATTTAATAATTGCCCCACAGTATATTTAATCAACTGTAATAAACACAGCTTTGATTTCCAAGGCGGCAAAAANATATTTAATCAACTGTAATAAACACAGCTTTGATTTCCAAGGCGTCAAAAACTTCTCGGTCTTGTGTATCATGAATAACAAAATAAATTATTCTTATACGATATTAAAAAAGTATTTTTAACAAATTTAATATCAATCTTATCGTATAAAAAAACATTTAATAAAAAGTTTTGAATTTGAAATACAAAATTTTAGAAAAGCAAGAATGCATCACATTTTAATCCTGAAAAATAACCAAAAAGAAGAAAACTCAACCCATATCTTTATAATAGCAATATTTTATTTTAAATATATGTTGTAAATAGAAAAATAAAAAAATACGTTTGGTAAAACAAATATTTAAGTGAATACTTTTTTAACTTAGCTCCATTGGGAAATCGACAGCGCACAGTCCGATACTAAACGATTAAACTGTCATGTTTGAAAAACATTTCACTATGTAATTTTTTTTGTAATTTCAATTGAATATCTTTTTTAACAATGATAAAGTTTTGGTCAAATTAAATCCTTATCCTTTGGGAAATTGCAAATTATTGTTGATTTAGTGTAAGAAAGTTTGAAATAATTAATATTCTGTTTAGCTTTACAAAATTTTAAATGTTTAGTATATAACATAATATATATGAATTTAATATAACTAACTTACTATACACATTTAGTAACTTATAATGTACTCAAAATTAAAAAGCTTTTAGGTATATAATTTTTACCAACTATTTGATATTACATAAATTTAAAAAGTTATTATTAATATAAACCTGTTAATAGAATATATTTACTTAGACTTCCAAATTAGTAAAATAAATATAGAAATACTTTTTTGGTCATTGATTGAGTATACAAAAATTTGGAGACATTTTTAAGTTCGTGTTAAAGCTCGAAATTTTATGTGAATATTTTTATATACCAAAAAAATCCTGTCATGAAATATTTACAAAATTGCAGTGTTAATTTTTTTTTTAAACTCTGAAAAAATTAGTATTACTTTTTGAATATATGTTACGAATAGCGGTAGCGTGTTATTATAATGATGTTAAGTGTAAACTAATTTATAAATTATTTCACTGTCTTTTCAAGAATAATTAGTATTCGAAATTGACAGCTTTTTTCGTAGAGAGGTAAAAAGCTGATTGAGTTTATACAAATAGATTTTTTAAGTAATTAAGGATCCTACATACGTAGTCTACAAAAAAATGATCAAACCGTTCAATAGAAAACAAAATATGTTCGTATTGTGTTCTTTTATATTCGCATCTCTCACTACGGTGACTTTCTTTTTTTAAGTTAGTTAAAAAAAAAAAAATTATAGTTTTTATATGTGTCTTGAAAAAAAACGTTTATTACACATTTATCGTACAACCTCAACATCAAAATGATGAAAAGAATACCTCAAACCTAAATGTATAGAAAATTTACTTCTAAATCAAACATTTTGTTAAAAAAAAATACAATTTCAGGTTAACCTAAATTCGTAATAAAGTCGTAATTTTACCAGCAAACAAAGTTTACATGTAGGTTTTTACATGCCTACATGAAGATAGCAGACATCATTTTTAATAAATAATATTTTCATAATGTTATTATAACATATAATTGTACAAAAATGTCTTTTTTAAATTGCTGTCAGAGTATCAGATAAAATAATTATTTTTTTGTAATAACTTTTTTACAGACAATTTTTAATAACCCTTTTCGTACTTTTTTATTAACAATCGTAATTTTAAAATAAGTAATTACAACTAAAAAACTTCAGTTGTGTTAAAAGTTCTAAAACTTTTGTAGTAGACGTTAACATTGATTTATCGGTGTTAATTTTCACAGTTGATTTTCATTATAAAAAAACTACTTAAAATAATAAATGAAAATAGAATTTTACATTTTGAATTGCTGATTTAAAATCATATTATATATATATAACTCATACACACCGTTAAGCGATGCAATTGCCTACCCTACCTCTACCACAAAAAGAATTATTTTTGATTGAGGTTAGTTTAATTATAAGTGAATATTGAAAATTCACTTTGAAGCAATTAAGTAATATCTATATATAATAATGACAACTAAAATAAGTATTCTATTAACTTAAATAATAATCGTTATGATAAATATTTACTGCTAACTTGAAGTCTTGTGGTCAACATGGAAATGGGATAACATGTACAATGAGCAAAAGTGCTAGAACACATAGCAGACGCCATATTGAGTATCCACTGTGGTGTGTTAAAACCTATGAACTGTTGTTTTGCCATTTCATACACTGTTAGATCAATACCAGTGAAGATCAACATCCCTGTCGTATGAGGCACATACCCTTTGAAGAAGCCTGATAAACCCTCATTTTTCCACGTAAAATTTATAACTTCCTTTACACTTTTGTAATGGCCTACCATTAACCGAGTCTTGGTGATCTATTTAACGAAATAATTTGAAAGATTCATAAATTGTAACAAAGTTTTGTATGACAGTGATTATTATGTGTATATACCTCAACAGGATACAAAACACTTTGACTTGATGCCCCAGCTGTTGCGCCAGCTATGAAACGTACTCCATTACTCATATCTGAATCTGCCGACCCTAAAGTTTTTTTCATCCAATCATACATGCTAAATTTAATAGCAAATTCTGGTGAGGTCTTCAACAAATTTAAACCATTTCCCTTCCATAATGATCGACAACCACCTTCCTGATATAGATGTCTAAAAGCTGTACACACACCACCATTGTCAGTCGTCTTCGTAGAAAAGCCAAATAAAACAATTAAATAATTTACCTTTTTTCTAAGATTCTAAAAATAGTGTGTTTAATAATAACAATTAATGGTCGTTAGGATTCGCGCATAATTCAATTCCTTATTATTCACATATATACAGGAGAGTAAAATGGAATTTATTAGGAAATATTTAATTCTAATTTCATTATTGGCTCTTCATTTAAGCTTTTTTTTTAATTTTTTTAATTTTTTTTTTTTAAACTACCATAATTTTTTTAAAAATTAACAAAACAACTTTTTTTTTTATTGAAACCTTAAATATTTCTCTTTTAATCGATGTCATTTTTTTGAAAATCTAACGCTTGACCTGCTCACAGGGGGGGATTTAAAATAGCAACTTTTATCAAATACTCTTGATAGACAGCGACTGATGTTGATAGTTGTTCATATGTTGTGTACTAGAATCGAATGATCATGATGGTCAGGTTAATTGGATTTAAATAGAACTTGATTACATAGTTACATTTTTATTCAATTTTCAAGGGATCAATGGCCAGTGACTGTTTGTTTAAATTTATTCTATAAATTTTACAATAATGATGACATGACATGATCACAATTAATTAACATAAAAATATAAATCATAATAAATTATAAAACACATAACTAGTAGAAATTCAATCAAATTTTTATAGGAAACCATTTAAAGACTTATAGAGAGCACCACAATTTTTTACACATAATTTGCTGCATATTTGTGAAGGATAATTAGATTCTATAGTTTTCTCAATAATTTCTTCTACACCCAAAGAAAAACCTCAATCAATTTTGATAGAGAAATTTTATCAAGGGTTTATGATAATGTTTATTAATACGAACAAAATAACTATTCTTATAAATAATTATTGTTCAAGACAAGAAAAAAAATTATCATATTGATAAATATATCATAGATTCAATAGTAATGATATATTTATCAAATTGAACAATGAATTTATTATATAGATCGAGGTTTTTCTCTGAGTGTACACATTTTATATAGAAATATATATAGATAAATAAATTTATTAAAATTTGACAAAATCATGATTTTTATACAAAATTATTATAATTAAAATAACAAAATATTAAATTAAATAAAAATCTCTTAAATCAACCACTAAAATTTATATAAAAACGTTTTTGATAATTTCAATAATGATTTTCCTTTCTGTGTGTTGCATTACCAATTTGTAATTTTTCTTTCATATTGTAACTAGATAAAATGAACTGAATATAGAACATCATTTTATTTTTGATTTACGGTGTAACAATATACAATATACATTTTTGGTATTTTATTTTTTCATTTAAATAACTTAAAAGGGTTCAGATTAATATAATTGATTCATTAAAAGAAAAAAATAGTAAAAACTGTTAGGACAGGGACTATAAAACATATGCCACTAACCCCGTCATCTGTAAATCTTGGAATGGCTGAACTGTAAGATGAGGAACTTTAATTAAACACGGCTATAATTAAAATCAGAAGTGTGTCCTGAATGTGACAAAAGGGTATCTGAGAAAGGTAACAAATATAAAACTTAAAACTATAAATATAAAATAATAGATCAAATTGAAATAGAAAACTAGATGCAGTTATTACAACTGTATATTGAAAGAACATTAATATTATATACTATATAAAATAACTAATAGCAAAATAAATATGTATAAATAATTTATTTGTCCTTTTGGCACAATAATAAAACTTTCACTAGCACAACATATAAAAATAAAATCAACAATAATAACTCCAAATACTCTTATTCTTCTTAATAATAAATATAACAATGATAAATAAATATTCTCTGTCTCTTAGAATAAACCAAGTATCCCTTATATTATTAAACTAAATATATAATTCACAATAAATAAAAATACAATTTTTTGTAAAAATCACAATACCGCTATTTTGTGTGTGCACTGTCCAGCTGCATATATACCTAAAACTAATAAATAAATTATTATAACTAATAATAACCAAAAATATTACATTTTAGAGAATCTATCAAAAACTCAAATACTAAAAATAGTAACTTATTAAAAAGAATATATGCTCAAAAAAATCCTAATAAAAAAAATACAGAACATACAAAAACCTACGTTAAAATATAAACTACTGTATTTTACAACAGCTTTAACCTATTTTACAACGGAGAGGAGGAAGGAATAGAAATATGTATAGTTCAACTATGCGGCTCAGACTAAAGACAGGTACCAGTATTGCGCATAAAGCATGCACATAATTAATTTTAGTCTTAACAGAGACACAGGTCACAGGGGGTTTATGTCAATGAGGCAACTAATATCAAAAAAAGTTTATAGACATTATAATCACCAAATTTTGTTTTATTTAAAAATTATCATTGAAATTTAAGAAATTATTATAAACATAAAAAAAATAAAAGTAAAGAAAAAAACACTAATCAAATAAAAGCTATATAATATAAGTGTCCCTTGATTAAAATATATTACAATTTGGTGCTAACAATGTGATTTTAGTATTAAATGTGGAGACAATTATTATTATGGTTCAGATCTTATACGATATTACATAATTTTCGTGGATCTAGTAACTATTTTATCTTTTAATTAAAATAAAATAAATTACAACGTAAGCTGTTTTGATGTATATCGGTGTAAGTATAAACATTTAAGTTTAGTATTCAATACTTTAGCGACTTAAAAATAATTTATATAACAAAAAAAAATTCATAAGCAATGTTGAAATTATACAGACCTCATGTTACTATTTTTCACCAAAATCGATATACAGAGTGTTCAGTAAGTCAGGAAACGGGTTTCTATTGTTCTCATTGTTTGTAACAATGAGAACAATAGAAACCCGTTTCCTGACTTACTGAACACCCTGTATATGACGACAAAGGAGATTAAATATAACAACAATCGAATTGTTTATCGGATCGAACTAAATTATTAATTAACTTGAAATTAAATTCCACCGATATTTGATAGGTGTGACTCCTCGCCTAGGTGATGACAACCCTTTCTACCATAGCTAGTCATTATGCAAGCGGCAAACCATGTTGTTGTTGCAGGCCTACAAAAAACCCGCTTGCATTTTGTTAAGTATGTTTTATTTGTGCCTACTTAACTATATTTTTCATATAAAAACATAATATATGCTTCTATACTAGTATGTATATATTATATACATATTAGTTAATAAACTTATAGGAAAATGTGTTAAATAATTAACTCTCTAATTATAAATTTATAACCATATTTTTATTTTATAAGGATTTTCATTATTTAAAACTTTTAATATTGTAACCACAAAATTGAAATTTGAAAGCTTTTAATAATTGACTAATGGTTATCTTCAAAACTTGATTCTGTAATAATTTATTAATATATTCTTTGAAAATATTTTTGTTTAGATTACAAATATTTAATAAAAAAAAAATAACGTAATTGGTTTGTAAAACTTTATTTTATCATTGATGAAAGTTCATTAGTATCAACTAACATCTTAATGATTTAAAATCTTTTTAAATTGTTTATGGTATCTTAGTGTACAATGATTTGCTTAGCTTTATCAGTCGTGTTTCAAATGATCAAAAATTAAAAATGGTATTGTATAAATGTGGTCAAAATAATTCAAAGCCTAAAGCTTAAACAGTTAATGATCGTATACTTGAATACGAATTGAATGAATTTATAACAAGTAAAACTCTTGAGCTGTTAAATGTTTTAACTGTTGTAAAACTGTTTACTTAGTATTAACCGTATTATAATACGATTAATAGTTTTACATGGAAGAATTTACAATCAATCATTTTTGTCATTGTTTTTTATAACATTATAACCAAGAAATAGTTAACTTTATTCATACACCCTTTTTATATTAGATAAAAATATTTTAGTTTTTATTACCTGCATAAATGTTTTTATACGATCTAGCGGTGCAGTAGTTGTTTTAGAAATGGCTCCAGATAAACCGCCAGCAAAGCAATGCATAAACCACACACTTGACTCCGATTTTCTTATAACAATTGCTTGTATTCCAAATAATTTGTTACAGTATTTATCAGTGTCACTATCATTCATCATAAAACTAACTATTCTTGTGAAAAATTGATAATATTTATTTGTTTGAAGTCAAGGTTAAATATTCAATATAAGCCAATTATTTTATCTTTAATGCAGTTTAAATTATGTTTAAAAAAATTTAGTAATCGCTATTTGGTTAATGTACTGAAGTATATTAGCCGATTAAGTTATTAGCCGATACTCAACAATTTCGTACAATTTTAAGGTTGTAATTATTAGTCATTTTTCGTACATAAGTACATATTTAACTACTTTAGATCAGTGAAAGCTCAGATTTAAAGTACACAAACAAGTTTATATAATTCAACATAAACTATATAAGGTGTTAAATTTTCCATGTGGAAATGGGGATAAGAATACTTTCATGGCCCATCTGCCAGTCGTAAGAGGCGACTAATGAGATTGCGTCAAGTTAACAGCCGGTGTAAAATTTTGTTAAAAAGTATGAGATGTCCTGAACAAAACTTAGGCGAATTGAGAAAAACATTAGAGAATATTTCGTGGAACGAGGAACTGATAGATTTAATTAATGAGAAAGAAGACTAGATGAAGTGCTAATAGAAGTATGAAAAATATTATGCGGTGTTAGCATAATGTGGTTAAAGGATCTTTTTAATAAAATACTCATGGATATTTATCATGGTAAAAAGTGGGGGAGGAGTAAAAGAAGGTTTTAGGATAAGAGTAGGAGTGCACCAAGGTTCTACTTTAAGCCCTTACTTATTCTCTATAGTGATGGATGTAATATACAAGGAGAGATACCGCGATGCAAGTTGTTCACTGACAATATAATGTTAATAGGAGAAAATAGGGAGGAAATTAATCAAATACATCAGTTGTGCAAAAGAACGGTGGTATAGATGTCGCGTCAAGCATGAATAAGATGAGAAATAATAGACTTAGATGGTTGGTCATGTTATGACAAAAGAAGAATCGGAAGCTATAAGAACAGTTATGGAAATTCATGTTGAAGGAAGAAGAGGTAGAGGAAGACCAAAAAAGAGATGGAGGGATGTTATTAAATGCGATATGAGAACAGTTGATGTGTGCGTAGATGAACTAGGATGTCGTATCAAGAGAAAGTTTAGAATAAGGGTGGCCGAACCCAAGTACTTGAGATAAAGGTGAGATAAAAGAAAGAATAAGATATTAGTGTTCAATGAATGAGGAAACGGATTCAATTGCTGTTTGTAACAGTTGACCTGTTTTCTTACTTTTTGAACACTCTATAAATCTATAAATATAGACATCTACACAATAACAATAACTGTAGAGCACAATTGTTTTAAAACAAACTAGTAACATTTAGAGAGACTGATAGAACAGGTAAGAGTTGATTGATGATTGTCAAAAAAAAAATTAGAAAATTTCTATAACACAAAAGATATACTTAACCAAAAATTGATAAGATCGAGATTACTGTATAAGTTTCAAATAATACACTACTAACCTTAGAGCAAAATAAACGCAGAATTAAACATTTTTAAATAGTTTAATTAGATCATTCAAAGAAATATGAGATACAAATTCTCTAAAAAATCAATGATTTGTCACATTTTTTGTCGAAAAACTTACTAGTTGATTTAATTACAGATAAGTCTAAAAGCTTTTTAAGCATTTTAGCATAACAACATACTTTTTAAAACAAACCCAAATTTCGGAAAAAAAATTATTGCAGCAAGTAGTTAATGATACAGTGAAAAACATTGAACTATTAGAGGCTACAACAGTAAAGACAAAGAACAAAAGATCTTTTTACTACAAGTAAAAATAAAATATTTATAACTTTTCAATAATTTTTTACTACTATGGAGTTTAGTACATGAAAGTTAATAAAATAAATACCACCCTAATAAATAAAATTAACAAATATATAAGGTGAGTTATTTCACTGTTATAAAAATAATTTTATATACAATATTGTAAAAATTTTCTTCCAAAAATATTATCTGACATTCATCTATTGTAAATTTATGTGAAGTATTAATTATAAAAATAAGGTAAATTTTTATTTATATTATTAGGATTAATACAAATATCTTTGAATCTATTAAAAGAATTCTTGGCAATTTTAACACTTAAAATAAAAAATATTTTAAAATCTATTTCACATAATAAATAGACAATAATTTAGCTATTGAGTGCACTTCAAATTTTTATATTTTAAGCAAAATGAAAGTATACAATGAAATGACAGTTTTGAATTAAGACGTTAACAACCTAACTAAAATTATGCAAATAATAGTAATTACAAGAAATAAAATATGTATAAGTATATAATGTACATGCCCATAAAAAGATAATTAACAATAAAAAAATATACACTTCTTCTTTATTTTACATATCATACTATTAATATAATTTGTACTATGATAAAGCATTATATATATATACATATATTATTAATGATTTACAATCATATAAATTTAACAACAAAATGGTAATGTTTATTTGTATACCGGTGGTCCATACTAATGAAAATAAATTACTATTAATTAATAACATGTAAAAAATTTAAAAACTATAAAATACATAGATAAATAAGTATGTAGATCAAAAATATAATAGTAATCAAATACTATGATTTTCTGATTTTTTGTTAACCAAAGTACTACTACATTTTAATATCTCTTTATCTGTTAATACATTTGGTTTTTTATATAATTTTAAGGGACGTTGAAATCCTTTTGATGGGTTGTAAGGCATGGATAGTGTCTCACAGTGAGTAAAACCCACTTCAGTCATTAAATATTCAGTGAACATTTGTGGTTTCAGCTGTATAGTCTTATAATTTCTCCAGATAGTATCCTAAAAGAATAAAAAATATTATTAATACTAAAATTCAAAAAACAAATGAATATCTTTACATACTGTCAAAGTTTTTTTTCGACCATATGACTTCCATGATTGAGGTTCTAAAACAAGTGTTCCACCAGGTTTGAGTTGAATAAACATACGCTTGAATGCTCTTTTTAATCCATCATCTCCCCAATTTAAATGAATCCATTTAGTAATACTAAGACACAGTATGACATCAAACTGGCATGTTTCCATGGATAACATAACATCAGATTCTAACACATAATTTCCCTATAATAAAAATTCAAAATTTTTAAAAATGTTTATCATCTATTAAAGAAAAATAATTTTTTACCTGTATGAATGTGACATTAAAAGGAAATTTTCCTGATGTAAAAATTCCAGGTAAATTTATAGGTCCATACAACATAGGCAGAGATATGGGAAATGATTGAACCATAGCATTATAAACATCTCTATCTTGTATATTGGTAATATGACTAGTATGTTCATAATTTGGTGTCAATCGCAAAGAAGACTGTGAAGATGTACTGCTTATATAGTGTTGAACATTTTTACGAGCAATATTAATCAGCTTACGATCAATATCCATTCCTACAACAGATTTTGCACCGAAATCTCTTGCAACACTAAATGTCACATGACCAATATTACATCCAATATCTAAAATATCTTTTCCATAAAATAAATCTAACTTTGAGGCTAATACTTTAAGTCTATTATCACCTTCTTCTGTGTTTCGATATCCATAATACCTATAATTAAAATAACAGTAATTAAAGTAACACATATGAATAATTTGAAATCATTTGCAAAAAAAATTACTTTAGCATGCTGTAAAACAGAATTAGCACCATTTATAAAAATAGAAAAGAGAAGGAAAGAAAGAATTGAACCTTATGGAACACTAAAGGAAGAAGTCAGTCACTTCAGAAGATCATCCTTGAACATTTATTCACTGTTTTCTTTTAGTTAAATAGGAAATTAACCAAGAGAGGATTGATTCACCAAAACCAGCAAAGATTAGAATTTCTGATATTATGGTTAAGTTTATTGAAAACATTAAAAAAATCTGTATAAATGACAACTCTTGACAAGAGCATGGACAAGGAACAAATCAGTAATAAATTATTAAAATACAAGATTACATGTTAATGTAGATCCATGTAAAGCTAAAACTGCAAACTGAACAAATACTGGACAACACCTAACTTGCATTTAAAAATATCATTGTGCTAAGAGCTGTATAAATTTATTACCACAATAAATATTTTATTAATAATTTTATACCTGTTATAATTTCCATATTTGAACATAGCGTTTTTTTCTTTAAATTTTGGCTCATTTTTATTTAACTTGTGCTTCATTTTATTTTGTGATTGTACAGTTGAAGGAAACTCACTTTTTGAATCTAAAGATAATAAGGGCTCGGATTCAATTAGATTTTTTTCATTGTTTTTAACAAAATCATCTTGTGTTTTTTTACAATTTTCTGCATTTTTGTTTGGAGAAGGATAACGTAACTCTTTTGATTCTGGAATAACATTTTCTGATTTGTCCTTTAAATTTAACGTTTTAGGAGGAGATATATGAATTTCTACTGTTTGTTGCGCATTTAGTTTTTTACTACTATTATTTGCTTTTTCTACTTCATTTAGAACTAAATTTTCTTCAACAATGGGTTCAATTACATTGATTTTTGGTATGTGGGATATTTTATTATTAAGAAGGTCAATTTTTGGTTTTTTGATTGGAGGATAAGAAATGTCCTCATCAAAGTCATTATATTCTTCTAAACCATCACTAAAACAAAAATTATAATTTAATACCACAATTTTTGTGTAAATTCATTTTTATCATAATATTTGTTTGTTTTAAATTATTTATTAACTATTATAGTAGTAATTTCCTCTCAGATGCTTTTTAAATCAATATTCAAAATAAAAATAATTTTAGAATAAAACCTCCACTTTTTACTCTTAGCTGGAAAATTATAGATAAGTCAGAAATTATCCAAAATTAGGAAAATTTTTTAAGTTATTTCTTTGCTTAAAAAAAAAAGATATAATTTTTATATTTAAATAAAACAAAAAAAATTATTTCACACGCTACATCAATAATTCATATAAATCAATGTTTAATATTGTCTATTAAAACTTCCTATAGATTTAAGGAACTTTTAACCTATAGAATAATTGATATTGTTAAAAATTCTTAAAAGTGGTGGAAATTTAACTTTGAATTAAGACTTGCATAAACTGGTTAACTGATCTATGAACTAATTTTTAATAAAAAATACAAATTTCATAACTAAATAACACTCTTGAACTTAAAATAAACCAAAAAACATTATTTATTATAGTATTTTATTTATATTATATGTACCATAAGAACTTTGATAAATTCTTTTTATTTAAAAGAAAATAAAAATCAAATGACTTCTAATTTTGTACAATAATATTAATAAAAATATAGGACTATAATTTTTTTGTGGAGGGGAAACAACTTGAAAACTTATTATTTTGAGTGTAAAAAAATTGTTAAAAAATTCCTTTGGTTATTAGTTTAAATTTTTTAGTCTGTAAATTTTATGGGTACATTTTAGGTAGAGCAATCACTCAAAACCGTCCCTGTTGACTAGAAATATTTAAATTTTATGAAGCTGATACTTATGTATTATATTTCTTATAATTTTTTTGGTGGTTTCTATTTTTGTCAAAAAATGACCAAAATTAAACCTGCTATAGAAAAAAATTAATTTACCTCCTCAGAGTAGAGACTAAAATACACTCTAGAAAAAATGTTTATTTTAATCGGCTTTTTATTAACATCTCCCTCCCTCATTACAACATTTTAGTTACCCTCAGTATGACTTAAATTCTATTCATTTACTAATAATTTTTTTATATTAATAGATAATTTTACTATGAAAAAAAAATTAATGTTATAAATAAACACTTCTTATATTACAGTGTTTCATACATCTATAACGTAAGTTTATAATTTTTTTATTTTTGCCAGAAAAAAAAATTGCACTTGATTAAATCATACAATAACTATCACCCTTAATATATTTAAAAACAAAAAATTAACTATAATATTATTAATAACATATAAACTGAAAAAAAATCATAACACCCTTATATTTTAATACACAATATTTGTATTATTCAAATAAGAATTTTTTTTTATGCTTGATAATTATGGTACTGATTTCACTAAAAAAGTATTTTATTGATGATTTATCAATTTATAATCTTTATAAACATTCATTAATTATTTCCTAATGAATTGAAAATATTACCTGTATTTTCTAGGTCTGTGATAACCCTGTAAATTATTATGTACACATGTAAAATGTATACTATAAAAGATAAAATTATTTTTAAGTGAACATTTTATTCTTTGCAATTTTATTATCTATTTTATAATATCAGTTAAAAAGTACACATGTGTTACTAATAAACCAGCTGCTCTAGTAATTTATACTTATTTAATAAACCAGTAATACTAATTAAAATCCTAATTCATAATGATAAAACTTCAAAGTATAAATTTTAAGCAAAACTAATAGATGAGATTGAGCGTGATTTTAAATTATTAGATTTTAAAAATTCAAAATGAGTTTAATATGTTCAAAATATTTTTATGGAATATTTATTTTTAACTATAGATAAACAATAAACTGATCCTATATAACCCCTCTTCAAATACAATAGCAATGATAAAATTGTTCTTTATTTTACCTATTTAAAAAGTGTATGCACTACCCAAAAATATTTTCTATACAAAACTTACTGAGAAATTGGAGTATTTTCAGTAAGCAAACCAGGATCAGATAATGCTTTTGTTAGGTTTTTTTTTTGTTTTCGTTTTTGAGGAGTTCGTTTCTGTAATCCATGTATTCCAAAGCATTTAACTTTATTTACTTCAATACATGTACTCAATTCAAGAGGATCAGCTAAGTTTTTGGGAATTAAAACATCAACTTGGTCTTTTTTAATATTTACTTTGTTCGAATGCAAAGGTGAAGATTTTGGAGTCTTATTCATAGCTCTGAAAATATATTTTTATTCATTGAAATTTTACAAACATATATATTACACCCAGAAAAATTAATCAATCAAATAACCCAAGGATAATAGGTATTAATGACATAAATAATTACCTATTGATATCTTCATCTTGAAGACTATTTAGATTAAGAGGATCAGATATATTACCGCCAAGCAAGAATTTAGTCGGTGGAATAATATTATGAGTTTTCTTTTTCTTAGGTGAAGTTGCATATAAAATTGATGTACTATCACATCGTTTTCTCAAAGGGTGAAATTTTAATTTTTCTTCAGAAAAATGTAAACTTTTTCCAACAGAATTCAGATCATTACTTTCAATGGGAGATAAATCTTCCCCTTCATTCTCAACATCAGTTTTTGTAGCCATAATTAGTCTAAAAAAAAAAAATTTAATAAATACATTTTCATCACTATTAAATAGAAAAAATTCTAAATGTGTTATGCACAGAGTGATTGGTTTATTATAAACCACTCGATTTTACTTGCAAAAAAATACTGCCAAGTTATTCTCATTTTTATACCTAGGCAGTACAATGAATATGGTAAAGAAATTACTAATGATAAAAATAGTTGCACCCACTCCTCACCACCAGTCTATACCTAAAATTTTTAATAATTTTTTCTAACATACTGTTTCAAAAGTTGTTAACTATCAACCAGCCATTTTTAAAATTATTTCCTATTTTATTATATATACCACTTAATAATGTATGTTGCTATTTAAAATAAATAAGTTTGACACCCCTTTAAGTTATAAAGGATGATTCTAAGAAATAATTACTAACTAACTGATAAATCAAAAAATATATGTAACCAAAAAAAAAACAAACATGTTTTTTCCAATATTGTATTTATACTACAAGTAGTTGAGTGGTTTATGATAAACCGATTTATCTGCATAATATATTTATATATATATATATATATTACAATGTATTATATATTATATAAAAATTATTTAGTAATTTTTTTTTGTAAATAGCTTAGGTATTTCCCTAACATTTGGTATAAATTAGCTGAAAAACTAACCCTTTACTTGACCAAGGGAATTCAAAACTTAAAACATAGTACAAAAAATAAAACTTTTCAATTTTTGAAAATTATTCAGAAATACTCCAAGATTCAAACAAATATTTTATTAAAACTAAAGTTACACACTAAATGTTCATTAAAGAATTGATCTCAACACCTTATCTTCTATGTGAAAATAAAGTTATCCTATATATGACCGTTTTTCATATAATAATTTTTTACTAATTTATTTTTTCAATTATTCATGCCAATATTTTAAGTCAAAAAGTTTAGTTATATAGAAGATAGAGGTATGTACCCTATTTAAAAATCCTTTATCAAATAAAAAAAAGTAATAATTTACTAATAAAGGTTAGAACAATCAAAATTAATAAAGTTTTTTTCTTCTTATCTTTTTTTTCAATGATTTACTCTTACAATTTTGATACACGCATGCTCTAGAGATAATGAAACTACTTTAATTACGTTTTTTTGGAAAATGTGTGTAACATCATTTTTTATTTTAGTTACTATTATATGTATGTTGCCATTAAAAATAATTAAGTTAGCATTCTTCTAAGGGATGAATTAAAAAAATACTTAATAATTGATAAATATATTAAATTAAAACTATCAAAAATAGTTTTCTTAATATTATTATTAATTTAAGAGAAATCAAGTGACTAATATTGAAAGAATCACTTTGTATACAACTTTATAACTTTTTATCATTTCTCTGTAAAAAATACTACACTAAATTAATAATTTAAATACTACAATAAGTATTAATTTATATATTATACTTATGAATCATGAAACTTGTAACCAGAATATAAATAAGAAAATAGAAGTTGATGTTGCTTTTGGAATAATCCAACAATTCTTTTTAAAAATTAATCACTTTCTACAGATAACATTACAAAATAAATCTTTTGCCCCTTAAAATAGTAGGGTCCAGCCTACTTAGACTATCCTGAAATACCAACAGATTTCAGTATTTTTTTTCTTTTGTCCCATCTTTAATCTAACTACTTGGATTCAACCACCACCTTTAAACCCAACCAGATTAGCATTGAACCATTTTTTATAATAATATTTAATTCATTGTCAGATATCATTTATACTAATTATGCCACGCCCCTGTTGTGCTGGATTTTGTAATTTTAAAATTCCCTAACTTTTTAAACATTTTTTAGGAGGGAGCCAAAACACAAAAGAAATGTGCCTTAAATCCTCTACAACAATACAATTATATAATAATAATACAATTTTGTACCATGGAATAAAAACATTAAATAATACATTAATAATAATAATAATAATAATCATTAAATTATAATACCTCGATGTTTGATTAAATTTAAATTTATCTATTAATATGGAAAAACTAATATAACTGCAATTAAATTTTGACAGAAATCCACTACACCAAGAGAAGAATGACCATGGTGACGAGAGGGCAATTGACACCCGGGAGGGTGAGTATAAAGTGATGAACACCGCTATGATTAGCCTGACCTGGTTTGTAAAAGTTAATCTTGACCTTTTTTTTCTCATCATATATTTTAATAGAGCCATAGAAATATTTTTGAGATAAACTGAGCCGCTACATACAATTATATTGCCTCAATGTTGTTGGCCACTCAGAATAGCCTTACACTACACAGTATAACAATTTTATCAAAATTCTAGGAACTTCAATAAAATTTTCTGATATTCTACAGATTTCCTGGCTATCAGGATTAGTCAGATATTCTGACTATCCTAACTTTCACAGTTTTTCAGAATTATGGCAACCAACATTTTGGTCAAGTTTACTCTTTCATTAGCAACATTGCTACTCTATTTGCATTGTTTTACACTTTAAAAAAGAGCAAACTTGAATACCTGAAGAAATCACAAATTGATAGACTGACTTTTTTTGAAATAAGAGAATTGGAACTTGGCCCTTTTTCACAGTTAAATTTTTGTACACGTAACATCTTACTCAAATACAACTAGATATTTATTAAATTTTAATAAAAAAATTCTAATGGCAATAATTTTTTTGATATACTATTTAAGAAAATCCGATCGATGTCCTAAATATAGAAGACATTTGAACAGGGCCAACTACGCATANACATCTTACTCAAATACAACTAGATATTTATTAAATTTTAATAAAAAAATTCTAATGGCAATAATTTTTTTTTTTATTTCAATTTTTAAAATAATTTCAGAACGCCTGCGTATTTTTAACCTTAAAGCTTATTAAATGTATTCTAAGAAAAAAAAAAAAGTTACAATGACTTTTCTTCTAAGAGTTATTGGCAATCTTAATAAAAAATTGTAAATTTTTTTCGTTTTTCATTTTTTTAAAAAAAGTTTCTTCGGAGCATTTGAAAGTCATAGAGACAATTTGAATAAAATGTTTGGAGATCAATCTTAACTTGGTTTTTCCTCGCTTAAAAATATTTCTATATAAATTTACATGTAATTTTTAGAATTTTTATTTTCGTGAAAGCTAAGCCCTCTTTGTACCACCCGGATTGTGACAATGTTAATGATATTATTAATCATTGCTAGATATGAATTTTTTATGCCGTGTCTCAATTGGTATTAGGTTATTAATTAAAATTAAAAAAAATAAATATATTACGATTTAATATTATTGAATTAGCTTCGCCTATCTTTTTCTTGAGAAATTAAAATTAATTTAATTGTATTTAACGAGATATGTAAATAAAGTTTCGATAAATCTATTAATATCTTCATACAATAATAGTTTTAATATCTGAAATATAACTATTCAAATATAATTTAAAGAAGTTAAGGGATATAAATATTACAAAAAATAAAAAACCCAATAGTCATTGACATCTGTTAGTTAACATCACTCTAGTTATAAAACGCTTCGATGCGAATGTATAAAAAACATTTTTGAAATAAATGGTTTTAGAGGAAAAGGAATTGACAAGGTTTTTATTACACCTATAGAATAGATATTTGAATCCGACATCATTAAAATCAAAGATAATATTATCTAATGATCAAGGCAAAGAACACAGTAAAAAACAATAATTAAGATACATCAAAAATTAAAAACGCACAAACCAGACACAACTTGAAAAATATCTAATACTGAAAGTTTTTTTTAATTCATTTTCATTTTTTAGGTACAAATAGACAAGGAAAAATTTCACGCAGTCCAAATTTCTTTCTTTTGCATTTCCAACAGTATTAAAGTAACATCAGATGTACTACAGGATAGCCATTTATCTTCCTTATTTTTTCTTATATTTATAAATGCTTTATCATATTCAATATTAATATTGTTTAATGTAAATTCTTCTTATTAGCTGACAATATTAAAATGTTTATGTGAATAAACTTAAAAGTTGACGTAGTGTAATAAAATTACACTATAGTAGTATAAATATTACTTAAAAAATCAGTAGATTAAATTAAGGATCTAGGTATTATTATATCAGCTGTTTTATCGTTTTAAATAATCATAAATGTAATATATGGCAAGAGCTTATATCTCTTAAGTTATGTTAAACGCGTTTTTTTTATTGTCTTTGCTTAAAAGAGGCCTTTTGTGTATTGCTAAATCTATTCTTGATATAGTACAATGATATGAAATCCTGATCAAGTTGATCTTATAAATAAATTAAAAATCATTTAAAAACGATTTTTAAAATTCTAGGCATTTAAAATTGGTAATATTAGAAGTATAGTAAATATCACATATATTGAGATTAATTCACTAGAAAATTAGACGATTAGAATATAATATGTTATTTGTTTATAAATTATTCAATGAGTACATATACTGCTTGGAATTCTTACGAATAATTGGTTTAAAAGCTCCTACTTTTAATTCAAGATACAACCCTCTTTTTGCTATGCCTTTTACATCAAAAACAATTATTATTTAATAGCCCTGGGTATCGTCTTATTGGTTGTAATGTTGTGTTTTCAACTCCCTATTATCATAGTTAGACCATTTTCTAACTTTTAAACTAATTCAAGGTGTATATTACTATTTTAAAAAGTCAAGTTTGTACCATTCTAAGGAATAAAAGATGAGCCTAAAAAATATTTTATTATCAATAAATTAATAAATAATACTATACAACATAAAAAACAAAATATTTTTTAATTTCTATTACTTTATGAAAAATTTAATAGTCAAGGATTGCCACCTCAATAGTATTCAAAAAGTAAGGAAAAAGATTTTTATTGTTTAGAGTTAACAAAAATGCAACCAATTCACTTGCTTTGGGGTCTCGTGCATAAAACTCGAACACTTAAACTCGTTTATTATAAACAAAAAAACATCTCTTTCGCTTTAAAAAAAAGCCTGCAAATATGTTTATTTTTATATCCTTAATGATAATGCAAACATTACCATTGTTCAAAATAATTAATCATTTCCTTACTAATGGCTAATAAGTAAACGTTCCTATATATAATCATTATTACTATTTGTTAATTATATCTACATAAAGTGACCAATTGCAATTCATAAGAATACACACAACATAATAATTATGGTTCATTAATTTATTTAATTATCTTTATTACAGTATTTTCAAGTCTAATTATTAAACTAAAATTATATCATTTAAAAATCATGTTAAGGTTAAACATTAATTAAAATTTTAATTAATAATAGAGAAATAATAAGAAATTTCATTTAATTTAACCTGTCTAGTAATTATAATATAACATAAATCTTCAAATCAAAATATTTTTCATTAAAATCTTTAAAATTCATAATTATTTGATAAATTAAAAGAACATACATCGTTTTATAGTAATATAGTATATAGTATAGCAACATATTTTAATAAGAAAGTTCTTCTCGCGAGGGGAGACTAAAGTGATAGGATCCTCGATATTCATTGATTTTGACTAAAAGTTATTTATTATTATTCATATTGAATTTTTTTTTTCATCTCAAAAAAGAATTAAGAAAAAAATTATTTCGACTGGTGTGGTTCGAACTTTATACCCCGAAGTGTGCAAGACTATAAAATTTATGACGCAGCCACCGTACATTATGTGTACGCATTAATAAAAAAAAACTATTTAAACTAAATAAAAAATTCAAAGTCGCTTTTTTTAACTTAAAATATCAAAATAAATTAAAATTAATATTTAATGTAAGTTAGATTTATGTAACTTTTATAAAAATTAGTGGACTCATTATTTGTGTTAACCCTTATAAAATATTTTAAAATCAACAAAATCAAAAAAAAAAATTGAACACAAAAATAGCATGTTTTTGATATTTGGCAGCCATTTGCACATAGAAGATAAGTCGTCGGAACAATTTTTTTTTTAATTTATAGTACGTAACATAAGCTTTAATTTGACATATGTTTAAAGGATGCAGTATTTCCGGAACATTTTCAAAAGTTAAGATGAAAAAGTTGACTTCTGTAAAAAAGTTTCTACTTTGAATATCCCCTGTAAGCAGGTTAAGTGTTAGATTTTCAAAAAAAATGATATTAAATAAAAGGATTATATCTAGATTCAATATAAAAAACCCAGCACAGTGGGGTCGCGACATAGTGGGGACGTTGCATAGTTGGCTNAGTGGGGTCGCGGCATAGTGGGGATGTTGCATAGTTGGGTCCAGTATAGATTTAATCTGACAGTGATTAAAATCACTATCATAAGAAACGCTTCAATGCAAATCTGTAGATAGTGTTTAATTCTAAAAAATTGGTGGATAATTACAAAAGTTACATTATCTGCTAGTTTCTTATTAATACCCTGATTAAGATAAAGTATGTCGAATGAAAAAGGGATTATTAAAAAATATTATTTCTCATAAAAAAATTGTGTTGATTCGTACACTTTTCAATGAGTTATAGCATTATAAAGTTAAAAATGTAACCAACCCAACCCAACATCAACTCCTATTTCCTTAATTATATCCAGATTAGTAATTATTTTAATTATATATTATATAATTTTTATAATTAATTATTTTCAAATTATTATTGATTTTTAATATGTTAAAAGTAATCATTTTGAACCTACTTCTTTTTGTTCTTTAAAGTGAAAGTTTTAATAAAAAAAAAATGAATTTATTACCATAACTTTTAACTCAACTTGCAAGTTTGAAATAAATATTATTAAATAGAAAAAAATGAAATTGGTAGATTATTTCAAAAACAACAATAACACTTATTCCCTTAATTTTACCCCGATTTATAACTATAATATATGAATACATAATAATTACAGTAATTAAATTGAGTATGAAAGTGGTATTCAATAATATAATATTGTAATTTTTACGGAGATATTATAAAAATAAAAAGGAGTTGTATATTCATATACTTTTAATGCGTATACAAATTTAAAGGAATTTATGCAATACTTTTTAATAAAAAAATTTTGTTACTTATGAATAAATACACTAAACAAAAGGAACTTTCATCAGAAAAAAAATATACTTTTCTAAATAAACTTTTCGTGATGTTTTCAAATGTGCAATTAAACTTTTTCTATTACTTCTAAGTTTTAATATTATTACTTATTATTAAAAAATAAGTATTTACATATAAAAAAAAATAATTAAAAAACANAGTATTTACATATAAAAAAAAATAATTAAGAACAAAAAAAATTGTATTAAATTAATACTGATTTTGATTTTTAATATGTTAAAGGTAATCATTTTGAACCTATTTTTTATTGTCTTTTAAAGTGAAAGTTTTAATGAAAAATACCTTCTCAGCTTCGCATCGAAGCTAAAAAATGAATTTGTTACCATAACTTATAGTTCAACTTGCAAGTTTGAAATTGACATTATTAAATAGAAAAAAATGAAATTATTAAGATTAATATGCAATCAGGAAATTTTATAATTACTATTTACAGTACATTTTTCAGAAAATTTCGATTTTTTTGCATTTTTCTCGTAATAGATCACTTAAATAAAAATCATAAGAATCATTTCTAATTAACTTTTGGCGTTTAAAAAGATTGTACAATGAAAATATTCAGAATTTAATTAATTTTAATGATTATATGACCAAAAAAACCCACAATAAAAAAGTTAAAATGATTTACTCAATTGAGCGTATTATAAAATTTGATTATAATTGTAAAAATTTATCGTTAAATTCAGGTGAAACTAAAAATCATTTTTTTTTTTAATTTATATAGAAAATGTTACAAACAAATTCGGAATATTATATACTGGTAGTAGCACACACAAATAGAGTTAAAAAATTAATANATATTATAGACTGGTAGTAGCACACAGAAATAGAGTTAAAAAATTAATAAATTACAAAGTAAAATTATTTACTTTTGTATCTTTTGAATACTTTTATCATATCAAATCTAATTTGACAATAAATACCTAANTACTTTTATCATATCAAATTTAATTCGACAATAAATAATTTAAGAATATTAAAAATTAATGATTTTAATTGTTTGTATGGATAAAGCTGGTTAAGCTACTTTTTATTTGAATAAGGAATATTTTTTTGATTTTTAAGAGTAATAACTTAAACTAATCATTAGCTTAAATATCAAAACCTTAAATGAATCATTTGACGTATCGTTGAAAAAAGTAGGTCTAGTGAGAGTTAACAAAATAAATCGTAGCNAAAAGTAGGTCTAGTGAGGGTTGGCAAAATAAATCGTAGCCAGAAAAAGAACCACATAGTAAAATAATATTAACATGAATATCAATTTCTTCTCACGAGGAGAGACTATAGTGATAAGATCCTTTATATTTATTGAAATTATTGAATCTAAATGAGATAAATATGCAATGATTTGACAATTCTATTCTAACTCAAAAAAAAATGCAAATTATTAAAAGCCACAGACGGATTTGAATCTCGTACCCTAAGCGTGAAAGACACAGGTCTTACCCATTCGGCAACTGTTCGTTGATTTTGTCGCATGATAAAATTGGCTATTTAAGCTAACTCAAATTTAAAAATTACTTTTTCGACTTTAAAAAAGTAAAAAAATTTTAATAAGTTTAATTTCGTATGTCTTATGAACTTTATTCTATGTCAATTAAATTATATAATATTCATGAAAGTCAGTGTATTCCCCTAATAAGATATTTTAAAATAAAATAAAATACAAAACCCAGAATTTTAATAAAAAATTAGCATATTTTTGAATACGGTAGCCTTTTGCGCATAGAAGATGGGTCGTCGGGACAAATTTTTTTTTTCATTTTATAGTACATAAAATAAGCTTTAATTTGATATATGTTTAAAGGACGCAGTATTTCCGGAACATTTTCAAAAGTTCAGTTGAAAAAGTTCTATTTTTATACAATGTTTCAAAGTTTGAACCCCCCCTATATAAGGAGAAATTGTCTAATTTTAATAAAAAGTATGTCAAATAAAAGATGTACTTATAATATATATAGAAAAAAAAAATTTGTGCTGATACATACATTTTTCGAAAAGTTATAGCATTTTTAAGTTGAAAATTAAAAATCGAAAATTTTAACACAAAAATAGTGTTATTTTAACTACGGCAACCGTTTACTACATGCAGAAGATAAAGTGTCGGGACAAATTTTTTTTTTTTCATTTTATAGTACATAAAATAAGCTTTAATTTGATATATGTTTGAAGGATGCAGTATTTCCGGAACATTTTCAAAAATTAAGTTGAAAAAGTTAATTTTTGTAAAAAAGTTGCTATTTTTAATCCCCCCCCATGAGCAGGTTAAGTGGTAGATTTTCAAAAAAATGATATCAAACAAAAGGAAAATATCTAAGGTTTTAGTATAAAAAAAAGTTATATTGATTTGTTAATTTTTGAAAAAGTTATGGAAGTTTTAAGAAAAAAAAGTGAAAAAAATTACATAATTTATCGATTTTTAAATTAGTAATTTTTTTGGATATTTCCCCCATTTTCTGGGAACGAGGGAAAATTTAAAAATTTTTAAGGGTAATGTCTTCAACTATATACAATTTGTGATCTTTTGACGTATTGTTAAAAGAAATCGGTCCAGTGAGAGCTGAGAAAAAATAGTGACAGACACAAAAAAAAAATAATAAACACATCATGGTAAAATTAATACATTCTCAGCTTTGCATCGAAGGTAAAAAATATTTTGATTCATTCATTTTTCAATAAGTTATGGCAATTTTTAGAAAAAAATATCAAAAGTTACCGATTTTAAAAAACATAATTTTTTGGTGGATTTTCATCATTTACGAGGAACGAGGGAAAATTTTTGAGGATAATGTCTTCAACTAGATATGATTTGTGATTTTTTAAGAAAAATCGATCCAGTGAGAGCTGAAAAAAGTAGTGACAGACACAAAAAAAAAAAATAAACACATCATGGTAAAACTAATATCTTCTCATCTTCGCATCAAAGCTAAAACTGTCCCAATAATTGTTCTACTATATGAAATCGACTGTCAAAGCAAAAAAAATAACGCTTTTCTTTAATTTTAACAAGCATTTATTATTTAAGTGAAATTTCAAAACATAAAAATTGTAAATTTACAAATTATTATAAATATTAACAGATCGCATTAAAATGTTTTTTATAATAGTAATGTTAATTATTATCAGATATCATCTATCTGTGTCGCAATCTTTCTATGTTAGTTTTTTTTAATTATTATTTAATTTTTATTATATATTTTAAGATAAAACATTTTTAATTCTTTGAATATTACTTTTATTGTATTTTACTTTATAAAACTTTTAAAACAAGACTTTTTTTACTACTTATATCTTCAGCTTATAATCAGAAAGTAATTTGTTTAAGAGTTTTTGTTTTTGCAAATAAAAGGAATTATAACTGTTTAAAAAAAATAAAAATAATCGGATATAAATGGCTTCATAATATAATTGTTTTTCAATCATACATACCACAGAAGAGTGTTAAATTTAAAATATTTGTTAAAGGTCAAATTTATTTTACCCAAAAATTAACTAACAATACTTAAATAATAAAATCCATATGCCACATAAAGCAACATTTGATTTTCAATAATGATTATGATCGATTAGCAAAGACGAGTAAAAGGTATGGACCTAAATTTTGATATTTTAGGCGCGTTAATGACGTTAAACTTATTTTTAATACATATATTTTAATGATCTTTCCGTACATTCGTATAAAATGTAAATATTCATAGTAAATTTTTAATTTGGAATGAACATTTTCGAAAATACGGGAGCGTTATTTATTCTAACTTAAGGCAGAAAATTCCTAATTATGTCCATTGATCAACCACTGATCTTGTTTACAAATTAATCTGAGGTGGTATAAGGTAAATTACAAATAGTTTTTCATTCAAACTGAAAGATTCATTAAAAATTTAAATACAAGTCATGATTTAAATGATGTAGATATTGGGTAATTAGAAAAAATTTATATTTATGAAAGATTTTAATATATTCATTGAAATATATTATCTCCATTTTCACCTGCGATAAGATTATTAAGCTTCCCTAGATAAAATAATCTCTACAAAAACTTAACTGTAAAAAAGGGACAAGTTCTAATATAACTCCTTTAAAAAAAAGGTAACCCTATTAAAGTAGTGATATCTACATTGTAACCTAGTCTGTTCTTTCTTTAATTTATAAACTCACTTCACACATACTTTTATGAGCAATACTGCCATTTTATTTGTATCGCTTATAACTTAATAGTTTTTGGTTTGTTGAGGGCTAAAATAGATATAGCTATAATATCTAATGAAACCTGAGAGAAAATCTTTTTCTTTTGAGTTCTTTTCTTTCCGATCACCAACGTAATATCTAAGTAAATAATGAACCAGTATTTAACCACCAACTAAACAAGTATTAAAACTTGAACACAAAAGTTGATATTTTCAATTAATTTATACAGGAAATAACGAGAAAATTATAGCATAGTTCGATTGTTAGAACATATTTTAACTAATTATTTTATGAATTGAAAAATAAATACTTTCCAAAAATTAAAAACGATCTACAGAATTGGACGAACAATAACACTAGACAATATCCAAGGAGAATATGATCCCTAGTAAAAGCTTTTTTAATATTTGTATTAATTTCGCAACAGGTTTACGATCAAAATAAGTCGGATGATTTTACTCACTAAAAAAATGTGCTCAAATATACAATTTTAGGTTACATAACTTATCTCTAGTTTATTTTATTGTACCTTAAATTTAATGCCCGTATAAAATAATTACTTTTAAATTAACAATTAATGCTTTAAGATTAGAAAACACAAGTACAAAGACCACCGAACAGGATTTTAAAAATGCAACACACTTTGCTAATCAGAAAAATACATTTACATTCAGTGGTTTTTTCGCAGAAAACCCCGTTTTATTTTAGGTAATACTGTGATTTGTAAGTGTATACCCTTCAATATACTACATAAGTATTATTTTTCTAGGGTATATGTTAATTAAAAAAAATTATTAGAATACCCTAAAACACCATTAAATATATAATCCTAAAATAAGAATAATAATTGTTTTTATATAAAAATACAAGGAATCCTTTTGATGAGTAATTTGTTAAGTAAATATTTATGTAAAAAACTTATACATAAGTTCCACAATAGCATTAATTCTAAAAGGTAATTAAAATGATTAATACAAAAATGTACATATATAAAAATATTTATGGATTATTACTCGATCGCAATAAAACAAAATACTTCAATACTGCATTTACGTAGAAATATTTATGAAACAGCAGACTAGATAATATTGTAATAACTACAATAACAATACATCAAAATAATTGCAAGACACGTAATTTATTAGTACTACAGCTGATCAGAATAGCTCTAAGAGTATATGACACGCCGTCGCCCTAAAAGGAAGTGTACCAGAGCGTAGTGCGCATGACCAAATTGTCGATGTTGGGCCTAATAGACATGTGATAAAAGTGACGGTGGTGGTGGTAGCGGTGATTCAGCTGGTAAAATATACATGGCGCGCTATGGTGCTAAATATTTTTTCTTCAATTATAATAGGTAATTTATTTATTAAAAAAAAAAATTTTTTTAATTGCCAGTTTATTAATTAATAATTAATACTCACAACATATGGAAGACAGCAATGAGAAACTCGTACACAAAAAAAATGTAGAATAACGGCTGCTTGATCATAAAACGGCCGACGCCATTTTCTGCGTATACTCGCTATGTGTAAACGTGATGATAAAGTAGTGAGGCGCGGGGTAAATGCTGACAAGACTGGCGCGAACCTTCCGTACCTCTTCGTACGACGTCCAAATGTTTAATAAACCAAGTTCGGAATCGTTTCTAGTGGTAGCCGCCTGCGGCCGCGTACAATAATTATTGTACTTTATCTCAGTGTTGCCACTGGTACCCAGATACTATTCCACTACCATACATACAATAGTATAGCCCATAAAATATATGGAATATGTTTACTTAATTAAAAAATATTTATAATACGTACTGAATCGTTTCTTGTCAAGGATCTTTTTAATAATGATGACACCCTTATTATTATAATCATCCAGATAGATAATTAATATGCGCTCTAATATTGTTTATCATCTCGATTCAATAATCAATTAATATTATGTGTAAAAAACATTTTTTTATTACCTTTAAGTAACGAATCGCTACTATTATCTAACAATGTTCCTTTTATTAAATGTGTCTTATAAAGTTTTATATATTTATACATTTTAATTAGTAATCCTCTTTAGGTATCACTGTCCCTGTAAATTCAGTTTTATTAATTATCATTAAATTATTTAAAATTATAACGAAGAAAATGAAAAAGAATATTTATTATTCGAACCTAAATAATATTTTTCTATAACATTAAAACAAAATTACAATACTATATACTTAGACATTTCGTGTAACTTATTTTTATTGTATAAAACAATCAATGATGTTACCTGCAAAATGTTAAATTCTATTAATATTGTTTGTTCTTAAAATATTAATATTAATGAAAATTTACCATAAATTCTTATAATGGAAAATTTTTTAAGTTTATATATAAGGAGAGAGAAATCTTTAAAGCAAAAATATTTACATAGTGAAGACACAAATTTATTTTTTTAGAAAAGGTATGAAAAATGTTGCTATGTACATCCACTTTCAAAACAAAACACTGAATATTCCATTGAAACATTTTGATAATAGTACATTTTTAAAAATTATAATACCTTCTAAATTTACTTTTTGTAACAATGTATAATAAATAATAATTTATCTAGGTGTTAAACTATTTAAATTTTTTTAAGTTTTGTATTTCATATGTTGTACAAATTTGAGATTCATAAAGTTTTTAAATTTAGGAACAATTTTCAGAGAATTACATTGCATTTAAGTAATCTAAGTAGTGTTAATATTTAAGCAAAATAATTTTTTTAATATTTTTTTTTTTGATAATATATTGATCAGATATTCCAAAGAAGTTAAAAATAAATTTAACTACTATCTTTTAAACCTGTTCCGTCGAATTGGCCTGTACGAAACAACACTGTAGATAAACCGGACCTTATTTATGTTATTGTAAACAACAATTGAGTAAAAATTAATTGAAAATTTAGAAAAAGAAATTGAAAAAAATGTTTATTAAACTAGTGTAAATAATTTGTATGCAGGAAAGCAAAATGTTTAAACTTATTACATCTTCTGTTGTTACAACTTTTTTAAAATATAACATAAGTCTCTACTTATATATATTTGATTTAAATAAACATCATAATGTGATGTTTAATAATAAATTTAAAGTCTTTAAATTATAATGAATTTTTTTAATTATTCTAATAAACAAAATTTGAGGATTTTATTGCACTTATTATTGCATTTAATAATAAATCCTCAAATAAGTTATAAATTAACATTTCAAAAATATTTTTAAAAAAGGGTTATCTCAACATGTTTCATTTAATATTCCGCTTTATTTATTTTTTAAATTGTACCTACTAAAATAACAAAAATATTTATAAAATAAAATTTCACTCCCTTAGACAAAACTTTAAGTGGAGAGGACGCAACTAGACTTAGCCCCCTTCATACTCACAAAAAGCGCCCTCTTAAAATTTCTCCGAAAATTAGTTAGCATCGATAACGCCCCTGCATACACACAGACGAACAAATTTTTTTAGTAGGAAAGTTTTTAAATCATAATATTAAAAATATTACTCAATATTTGAAATAAATATGAAGGGAAGACGAAACTTCGTAGGATTTTTGTGTCATAGACATAAGATGAGTGGATAAGCATCACTTAAAATGTTTGAAGCTTCTCAACAATCACAAAAAATATACAGAATGCTTTAATATTTACAAAAAGTTTAATTTAAAATTATGTCCATTTTTTGCAAGACGTTCATGAATAAATACAAAATATTTTATAGTTATCTAATTTTTAAGTCATTGGGTAATAATATTTATTAAAAAACATATATTAAAATACTCCTTTGCAAAAAGAGAAGTCTAGTATATCTTTTCCAATTTAACCAATGTAGCTTATCTATATTAAGTCATATATAATACACTACATTTTGTTAAAAAAGTAACTTCATTGCTTTTATGTTTTAACAGAATTTAAAGCAAAATCTACTTTTCCTTATTTGTATTTAGATAAAATTGTATTTGATAAATGAATGTTTTATTTAAAAATCTCTTGATTTTCAAACTTGAAATTGCCTTTATTGTAAGATCTATGGATCGTGCCACAAATAGCAATATATAGTAACAATAAATAATTTTAACTATAATATAGTGTTATTGTCATTGTATTATTATCAAATGACATTAACATTATTTTAAAATTTTTGTAACTACGAAAACTTTTTATAATGGGGATATACTTTTATTTACTTAAATTAAGTATTAGTTTACCAAACATTTTTAAATAAATAGCTAATTTAATTAGCTTTTGATATTTAGGAATTAGATATACAAATAGTGTATCTAACTTATACACTACACATTTACTAAATTATTATCATATTCATTTCTTTCGTCAGAATCAGTAGTAAATGTGCACGTTTTTGATTTGAATCCATTATAAATTAAAGCAAATAATTATAAATATACAAAATAATTGCAATCGCTTATGATGTACTGAATAAATTTTAACAAGTTGCAGGAAGTAAACAAAACACTAATACTTTGTGTATTATTCTACCCGTTGCCATATTTTTAGTAGTTCCATTGATTAAATCAACATTTGACTGTGCAAAAAAATAGAGCTTTAACCCACCTATACTATATTATTTAACGGGTGTATTTAATCATTTAGTTTTTATACAATTTCATTATTCCAATTCGTTATGAGTGCGTAGAAACAATAATATTATTGTTAATTATGAAAAACGGCCCATAAATCATTAAAATTCTTCTAATACATGAATTTTATTCACATTCAATGCAGATATTTAACATTTATCTGGGATCCTGAAAAATAATATAAATCTTAAGCACTTAAATATATATCAACTCAAAATTTCCTTCAATTTGATATAAATGGCGCATAATTCGAATTAAAATCGTATACATACATAATAGTATAAAAGCAAAACACTATTACACGTTCGATGTGCTTCTATCTTTTTATATACTTTATAATAAACAAAAATTGTTCAATGTAGATGACAACTTTTTAGAAAATACCCGAATAACTTTATTCTGAATTCAAATTTTTATCAATTTATTAAATTATTTAATTACATCGTTATTATATAAATGTGTTTTGATATTACTTTATTTTTGTTTTATCGGTTTGCATTAGACAGGCACAGCTGCGCGAAATCATAAATTGACAGTGATTAGCGAGTGAATACTTTAGAATAACTTGCAATGTAGAGTGGGGAAAAAGTGGGACTTAAAACAATTCCAAGTACCCCTACCTGGTAAGCTAACTACAAATAGTACTATGCGTATTCAAAACATTTTAGTTATTTTTTTTTTCAAAGATAGCAGCACAGCTATCTTTGTATTGGAATCTAAAGAGATTAACTTATATACGTAATGCTTTTAATTCAGATACTCATTGATGTATTAAATAATTTGGCACTCTGAGACAACGAAAGTTTTCCATCTTTGAAAAATTATTTAAAGAACTTTTATTTGTTTCAACAAATAAGGAAAAGACCTAACTAGGTTAAAATGAAGCGCTAGCGCTGGAATAGCTTGAGTCATAAATTAGTTAATTTACAACGGCTTGAATTATTCATCAATTGATGTATTAAATGCTAAATTAACTTAACCCTTGAAAGTACTTTTACTCTTTTTAGTACAATCTGTATTAGTAGATAGCGGTATCCCACAAAAGCTGAGATTGATTTTAATGTAAAATTTAACTTTTGTGACTAAAGACATTTTGATGTTATACGCCTTAACTATAATATAGTCCATATTTCTTACAATAATTATTAATATTCTAATTATAATAATTATAATAATTGTATTAATATTATAGAATAATTACTAACAAATTCGACATGTTAAATTCCTATATGACTATATAAAAATTAAATTTTTATGGATCCTAATTTTTACAGTAAGTTAATAAATCATATATGAAATAAATAAGATTATTAATACTGTACTATTCTGATAATGTATGTACAAACTTATATACTAATGTAACCATCCTGAAATTTATATATAACAAATAACATTCCTTAATAAAATTTTCAAAAATAGAGCTATGCGCAAATTCAAAATCCCAATAAACTCTGTGTGAGCATAAAAAAAAGTTCAAAGCGAAAAATATACATTTGAACAGTAAGCTTACTATAAAGTCAAAGTTCAAATTAAAGATACATATATATAACAATAAACTTGATTAAATATAACAACAAATTTTGTATTATAAACATATTTAAAAGAAATCGACGGAAATTATCTGTACACTTAAGAAAATAAACATAATTATATAAATAACAAATATAATATCAAAACAAAATGATGGTTAATGATCTAACCCAATCAATTATTATGTGACAACATTAATATATATAACAAATTAATTGATTAAAAATTTTAATTGAGATAATAATTGATTTTCTACAAATTATGGGTCACAATATATAATTGCGCGTGGACCTTAAAGAAAAGCTCATAGAATGGTGAAAAAAGAACTAATTGAATTAATTTTTTTTATCTCAAAAATATCATTGAGCGGGTCTCGTAAAAATTTCAAACCTCAAGTCGTAAAACGCTGGCGTCAGTAAACGTTTTTTTCGAAAACGATCGATATTTTAAAACGTTCATGAGCGACCAGCAAAAATTTTCCGACCATGGCCAATAATATTCCTGGACTCTCGTGACCGAGTGCTTTCGTTGGAAAAAAAAATTTTGAAAATCGGAGCACACTAAGTAATTTTCCCAGAATAGCATTTTTTTCTTGTTCTATTATATAATAAAATTTCACTCTTTAAGAATACTATTTTAAGTTTACAAAACACTTTTATAAGACTATTTTTAAGCATATATTTATTAATTAAATCGAGTAAAGGCATAATTTGATTTTCGCATACATTTTTGAAAATTAGTTGATGGACTTATACCCCATAAATAGGATAAGAATACGTTTTTGTTTTTCATTTTATTTCAGTTCATCACTCACTAAATAATGTTCAAATCTCACTATTAATTCTTAATTTTTATTTTTTGATAGTTAATCTAGCTAAAAACAATAAAAATTGCTTATAACTATCATATACTACGAGTTATAAACGATAAAAAAAGTGTACACTTTTACATCAGGTTATTCTAATAAATTTTTGTTCAACTATAATTAAAATGTAATATTTTAATTCTTTTACTTTTTTATAAAATCAGAATTTAAGCGATTTTACACAAATTTTATTTTATTTACTTTAATATTTATTTATTCCTTTTATAGATTTTTTTTAATGCATAAATGTGTTACAATTTTTAGTTAATTTTAGACAGAAATAGTTAAGATTTTTTGGAACATTTATATTGTTGTTAAAAAAATTTAACATTTTTATTAAAAAAAATATATTTTTATTAACATTTTGCTTAGTTGGTGATAATCCATTTTACTTCTTTTGGTTTTTACATAATCTATTTTCTAATTGATTTTTAATAATAATCATTTTTTTAATGTATTTTGCATTAAATTTGTACAATATTTTTATTTTTTAAGATATATATTATATATATCTTAAAAAATGAAATCATGAATAAATTAAATAGTATGCAATATTAAAAAATTAAAATTTAATATGTAATTTTTATTCTAGGTGTTAATAAAAGTCAACACTTTGAATAAATTAAAAGTTAATTAAAAATTTAATAAAAATAAGCTTTATAAGAAATGTAGTTTTATAATTTTGTAACTTAAGTCAATGGGTTGAAATATTTTCAACGCCAAGATATTTGTTAAAAATTCTAGTGTTTTTTTTATTGTTCAATAACGTCTGATTCGTTGTAATTTTCATTATCTTCTTCTAAATTTTGTATTTGATGCATATAGTCGTCAGTAGAACGATCGTTGTATACTTTTTCGGCTATTTTACTGTTATCTTTTTCTGGACAACCTTGATCCGGTTGATTATAATTAACCGTAAGTTCATCATTAACCGGGTCAGTCTTTACATAATTTCTGTAGTCATTTTGATTTTGATAATAATAATCGTCATGGTAGTTGCTATTTCTTGGATTTTGTTCGTCGTAACTATTTGAAGTATAAGGTTCTTCTTGATTCTGAGATCTATATTCTGTTTGGTCATTTTGATAATAGTAGTCATCATAACTCAAATTATAATTGTTGACCTGTTGAACTGGTTTATATTGTTGATCTTGTTCAGCTCTCATATATCCTTCATAATCATAATACTCATTTTGTGTTTGTGGATCTTGCTCCTTATCTTGATCATTTTGGGAATCAGGTTGATAGTAATATTGCTCGTTGTTTTGTCCCAATGGATAGTTGTTGTAGTAATAATTATCTTGTTGGTGTCCCTCATTGTCTGTATATTTAGATTGTTCATAGGAACTATTTTTTTCATTATTAGTACTATTTTCATGATAGTAGTAGTTATTTGAATTGTATGGAACTTGATCAATATATTCTTGATTCATAGGTTGAATATGTTCATCGTCTGGTTGATTTCGGTAATCATAATATAGATCTTCAGTTTTCTCTTCATATTTTCTGTCATTGTTTTCTTCTATTGTTGGATAAGCACTAATATTTTGTTCTTGTGTCAATGTATTAAGGTCTATTTCTGGTATTATTCCATGTTCGTTAACATTTGGCTGATAGTAATTTGTTTGATCATCATAATTGTCACGTACTTTATTATTTGAGGTCGAACTATACTCAATACTTACTTGTTCAGTAGAATCTTCTGGATCTCTAATAGTGTGATCAACGAAATTTTGTTCATTGTTTAATTTCCAATCATTTCCATCATTTAAAAGATAATTACTATCTTGTGAATTTTGTTTACTAATTTGTCTATCTTCGAGTTTATCTTCAATATCATTATCAAAAACAGGAGTAATAGATTTGTCATATTCAACCGAATCATTTCGATAAATTACAGATTTTTCTATTGGATTACTACCTTGCAAATTGCTGACAATTTCTAATATCTTTTCGGGCTGTTCAAAATTTTTAGTAATACCATCATCACTAAAATCTTTTGATAATTTTCTACATTGATCATTTTCTGAACACTTATTTTCATACCAGTTCTCTGAACTAAGATTAAGTTTTTCATAATTTTCTTTACCTTGAATAGGACTCTCATTTTCTTTTTTTGATATCGTATCAGAAGAAAATAAACTTGGTGTTTGTAAATTTTCCGATTCGTTATTTATTAAAGTGTTTGGTAGGGTGTTATTATTACTTTCATGTGTTATTTTTATATTATCTGTAGTTGATAGCTGACAAAAATTATCTTGTGAATTTTCTGCCTGTTCATTAGAAGTAATACTGAATTTCTGATCATTTTTAATAGTGCTGTGATAGGAATTAACAAGACTTGCTTTACGTAAAGGTTGTTCATTTCTGGTTTGACAATCTAAATCAAAACTTATCTTCTTGGGCGGCATTGTAAGTTTATTAGTTTTAACGTTAATAGAAGTTAGTCTTCTACTACTGTTATTTATATTGATGTCATCTAATTCATTTTTTACTTGTTTTTCTAATGTCGATGGAGCAGATTTAATTTTTAGTACATCTTCACCATTAAACTTAGGCCAACATTCTTTATTTTCATCCGAATATCTTTGACGTATTTCTGGATTACCTGTACTTCTAGAAGGGTTTACTTCAGCAATTTCACTACCAATTACATACCTCTGAGAATCATATTTAGGTACCCAGCTACTACGCAAGCCCGACACATAATCTTTAATAGTTTTCTCCAATAAACCGTCTGAATTTGGTAAATAATTATTTGATGGCCTGCTGTAAATTGGTGATATGGGTCGCTTTATATTTTGTTTAGATTGATATTGATAAAAATCTTCTAATCCATTGGGATAATAATTGTCGTCATAATCAAGACCTATATTATTCAGTGAATAATATTTAGTGCAGTGGTTATAATTGGGTTTAGTTGATTTAATTAGATTTTTGCCAAAATAATGTCTATTCGAGTACCCGTAGTTTATTTCCGGATAAATAGGTTCTTGTCTGACGGCTTTTGTTGGTTTCCTAGAGCGCTGATACATACAAGGATTTTCTTCTTCAATATATCGTTCAACAGGTTCCTGATTGTAAAATCGTTTTACAGATTGCCATGGATACTGGGTACTGATTTTTGAGGTTGGAAAATAATAAGCATCTTGAATGTGATCTTCTATTTTTGAAAAACGATAGTCCAAAATAGGATCATACTTTTTGGGCTCATAATGTGAATAGATAAAACCTTGATACGAGGGATCTATATATTCTCGTGCTCGTAACTTATAATTATCATTATAAACGTTATTGTAACAGTTATTTGACGACTGTAATAGCGGTTTTGGTTTACAATCAATAGCTTTGTTTCGTTTTATCATCCCTAATGGACCGTCAAGTACTAAATAATTGTTGATGCAATCAGAATTGGAAGGATAATATTTATCTACAGTATTATAAGATTTATGTAGCGACAAGGTAGGTTTTAAATCCATTACATCCAAATACTTCAACCTTTGATGCATAGCTGAACCTTCTAACAATGAATTTTGCTCTTGAATTGTTTCATCTAATGTTAACTTGATCATTTTTACATAGTTATCACATCGTTCCTGTAAATCGGAATTAAGTAAATTTATATTATTTTAGCGCAAGTGTTTATTAAGCTTTGTAGGAAATATATAGTATTAACAAGAAAAACATTTTTTTATGTTATAACAATTTAATTTTATTAAATTACTTTTAGCGAAAACTATTACCATTATAATTTAAATCAGTAGCGGATTTTTGGAGATTCAGTATATCTGGATCCTCTAGACACCGATACATTATTAACCCAAAACCAAATTAATCTGTGGGTGTTTAATGGCTGATTATCGAAAGTGTACTAAAAATCGTGGAAATAAAAAGTCATTGAAACAAACCTTACCACTAGACTACCGTGCATTTATGAATCAGATCCCAATATACTTCCATGTAGGTTTAAAACGTGATGTGCGGCCAAGGGAAACACAGTACCATATCATAGAATATAGGTAACATTTAAATGAAAATTTCAAGTAAACATAATTTTTCAATAATTTGATTTCAATATTTTCATCCAACCCTTGTAATTAAGGGAAACTCATAAAAAAATTAATTTGGTATTTAGGTAAAAAGAAGATTGCTAAAACTCCTGTGGTTTTGGGCTAGAATTATACCACAGTATTCTTTCTTATTATAAAAGGCGACTAAAAAGATGTAACGGAGTGCAATAAAAAATTAATTTTTTTAACATAAATTTTGAAAATGTTCCGGAAAGTCTGACACTTTTATATATATCTTAAATTAAAGTTAATGTAATATACTTTTTTATGAGAAAAAAAAAAATTTCGGACTTTATCTTATCTTCATGGTGAAAATGGCTACCGAATGCTATTTTTGTGTGAAAATTTTCGATTTTGTATTTTCCATTTTTAACTTTAATATGCTATAACTTTTTGAAAAATGTATGGATCAATACGATTTTTTCATGAGAAGTAGTATTTATATACATCTCTTATTTGACATACTGTTTTTTTAAATCGGATCATTTCCCTATATACGAGGGGGGTTTAAATCTAAAAAATGCATATATAAAGTAGAATTTTTTCAACTAAACTTTTGAAAGTGTTCCGGAAAGTCTGACACTTTTATATATATCTTAAATTAAAGCTTATGTAATATACTTTATAATGGAAAACAAAAATTTCGGACTTTATTTTATTTTTATGGTGAAAATAGATATCAAAGTTAATAAAAAAAATACGATTTTTGTAAAAAAATTCTTTTTTATATTTTTAACTTTATAATGCTATAGCTTTTTGAAAAATGTATGGATCAATATAACTCTTTTTTTTATAGATGCATGATGTCTTTACCTATCATTTGGTATATTTTTTTTTTTTATATCTGACCCTTTACCTGCCTACAGGGGGGGATTTAAAATGACAACTCTTTCACAAAAAATTTATTTTTTCGAACTTTTTTTGTTTTCTTTTACATAAAACTGCCATAACTTTTTTAAAAATGATCAATTTAATATAATTTTTTTTTATAGATGCATGATATCTTTATCTATCATTTGGTATATTATTTTTTATAAATATGACCCTTTACCTGCCCACAGGGGGAATTTAAAATGACAACTTTTTCAACTTAATTTTTGAAAGTGTTCCGGAAAGTCTGACACTTTTATATATATCTTAAATTAAAGCTAATGTAATAAACTTTATTATGAAAAAAATAATTTCGGACTTAATTTTGTCGTCACGGTGAAAATGTCTACCAAATGCTATTATTGTGTGAAAATTCTCGATTTTATTTTTACATTTTTAACTTTATAATGCTATAACATATTGAAAAGTGTATGGACCAACATAATTTTTTTATAAGAAATAATATTTTTTAATAATCCCTTTTTTATTCGACATACTTTATTTTAATTAGGATATTAATAAGGAACTAGCAGATCATGAAGCTTTTGGAATAATCCACCAATTTTTTAAAATTAAACACTATCTAAAGATTTGCATCGAAGCGTTTTTTTTTTATAGTGATTTTAATCACTGTCATATATCATTATACTTAATCCAACTATGCCAAGTCACCACTGTGCCGCGATCCCCCTGTGCTGGTTTTTTTTTCTCCTGAGGATATTGATGAAATATTGATTGAGGTAAAGAATTTCAGACGAAAAAGAGTTAAAAGTGTTGATTTTAATAATCAATACTTAGCAAGAGGAGAGTGTTAAATTTTTACGAAAACAATTATATTGTAAGTAAAAGTAGTCTATTTAAGTAAAAGCGGGTATGGGAAGAAATGATAAACATTCACAACTTATGCAAGACATAAAAAATAAAACTGCTTGTATTTAAAACCGGATGAAGGGAATTCCATAGTAAATTTAAAAAAAGAAAATTATTTTAATATAGTTTAAAAATGATTCAAGAAGGTGCCTAGGAAACCTTCAAAATGAATTTATTAAATAAAATTATAAGAAGGTTACAAATGTTATTAATAGTTAAAGAAACGTTATGTTTTAAAATTTCAATCCTATAATATTTAAACAGCAAAATTTGCCAAAAGTATATTACCCGGTAAGTAATATGTGACCTATTGTTTTGAATATTAATGTCCTAACTTACAATTTGGCTAAACACTTAGTTAGAGTATTTTGATCTATTCAAAAATTCAATATTTTTTCAGTTAAAAATAATATTGACTTAGTTCAAAAGTTATCTGGTTATACTATTCAAATAATGATAGATTAATTCTTTTGATGTTGTAGCCTTATGTACAAGCATACCAATAAAAATAACAATGGATTTTTTTAAAGGCCGGCTAAAGGAAAAAACATAGAACAGTATAAAATATATGAGTTTATTAATTTAACCAAACATATGTAGGCATTAATATTTAATACTTACATTCAAGAGGCCATAGATATTATAAGAGAGAGGACACAGCTAGGAATATAGGTAAATGATCACAGAATAGACATGCTGAGATTCGTGGATGATATTGCAATAATAACGTAGAATGAAAAAGATCTAAAAAAGATTTTAGGAACATTGTAATAGGTGATGGAAAAAGATTGGCATATGAAAAAAAACGCAAAGAAGACGAAAGTCCTAGTATGTAGTAGAAACAATAAAATAAGAACAAGAATAAAATTAAAGGACGATGAAACTGTAGAACATGTAGAAAATGTCATATATTTGAGTAGCACTAAAAGTCTAGATGGGAGATGCAAAAAGGAAATTATAAAGAGAATATTCCAAGCTAAGGTGACATTTAATAAGAAAAGAAATCTTTTTACTTCAAAAAACATTAACCTTATTACTAGAAAGAATCTACTAAAAATAAACATCTGGAGCATCATGTTATATGGATGCGAAACATGGACTATTGCAAGAGATGAATTAAAAGAATAGAGACATTCGAAAAGTGGTGCTACAGGACGATGGAAAAGATAAGTTGCACTGACAGAATTACTAATGAAGAAGTTTTAGAGTGGGTAGCTGAGAGGACATTAATATGGAGCACATAGAAAAGGCTAAATTAATTAATATATCATATTTTAAGACACGATGGGTTGCTATTATTAATCTTAAAAGGAATAATCGATGGAAAAAATTATAGAGGAAGACCAAGATTGCAAACTATAAATCAGATAATAGAAGATCTAGGATGTAATTCATATCAAGAATTGAAGAGGAAGACTAGTGATAGAGAAACATGGAAGTTGTTGCAAAACAATCATAGATTAAATATTACAGAAGTATGGGTCAAAAAGTTTTTCAATTTCAAAATAAATTTTATAAGTAAATTTAGGGTACAGCAATGAAAAATATCACACATGATAATTTTGCAGCAATAAACAATAAAACACTTTTTTGGATTTATTAATTAAAGAGTAGGGAACACTAAGTTTGGAAATTTATCGGAAAAACATAAACACGTTCAGGTACATTCCAAATCACAGTTAGCAACACAAAATGATAGCTTTCAATAATATGGCTTACAGATTAGTTAATACTCTGATAAATAAAATAGATGTTAATAAATAACTGGAGGTTATAAGTGAATTCGTTAGATGTAATAGATATCATAAATACTTAGTTTCAAAATAAGTTTGGACACAAAAGTGGAATAAAACAACCCAGCACGGGGGGGTCACAGCACAGTGGTGACGTGGCGTAGTTGGATCAAGTATAATGATATCTTACAGTGATTAAAATCACTCTCATAAAAAACACTTCGATGCAAATATTTAGATAATTAAAAACAATTGGTGGATTATTCCAAAAGCTACATGATTTGCTATTTTATATCTTCGACTAGATACAATTTGTGATCTTTTGACGAATCTTCGAAAGAAATCGGTTTGGTGAGAGCATAGAAAAGTGGTAACAGACACAAAAAAAAAAACACATCATAGTAAAAATAATACCTTCTCAGCTTCGCATCGAGACTAAAAGGGAATGCAGCATATACACTTATCAGCATGGGAGAACAAAAAGTAATAACGTCACCTATTTTATATTATTCGGTTATTTTGAACGGATTAGCTAGAATCATTATGAATTTTGGTAAAACTTAAATAACTTCTAAAAGCAATAATTTAAGGGATTTATTAGGTAACCCTAAAAATAAAGTAGAAGAAGGTGGTAATCGAGCATTTATAAAATACAATGTGTAAGTTGTAATAAATGTAAAGTAGATAAAAAAAAAAGTAGGGGTCAGGTTCAAAGAACACTTAGGAAACGTTAAAAATCATTAAGTTGATAAATCTCTAGTGGCTGAACATTTATTGACACATAATCACTCCATTAAATATATAATNCTCCATTAAAACCATAAAACTAATTATAAACGTATATAATTACAATGAACTTAATATAAAGGAAGCGATAACATTTTTTAAGAATAAAATCATTTTTATTACTTGGGATTTTAGCCCACTAAANATTACAATGAACTTAATATAAAGGAAGCGATAACATTTTTTAAGAATAAAATCATTTTTATTACTTGGGATTTTAGCCCACTGAAAAATTCATTGTTAAACTTCTGAAAAATGGTGAAGTGTGATAACTGACTAGGTGATAAAATCACTTAATGATAAGGTCATTAGGTCAAAATATCATAAAAGGGAGTATTATTCGTTTGGGGTGTCAGTATGTGTTTAGTTGTTACATTGAAATATTTTTTATTTTTGTTACCGTGATTTTTTAGTAATTTTTATAGCATTTGAGTAAAATATTTTTTATTTTAAAATACATTTTTTTTAAATATTTTTAGTTTTAAACTGACAATACAACTTTTCAAAAGTAAGGAATAACAGAATAGCAACATGAAATATAGATCATTGAGAGTTTGTAAAAAACTCAAAAATATTTGGAAAGGTTACGACTCAAACTCTATATTTTGAGAATAAATTAATTAAGATAGGCTTGACAAGGAGATGATGTAAAATCGCAGGACTAGGGATAATATTAAACAAAGAGCTAGTTATAAGATCAATACTATTGTATAATATAATAAAAGAATAATAGCTATTAAAATATGGTTAAAAAATCGGTAATATATATAACTCAAGTATGCATGCCTACGTCTAGCCACAAGGATGATGCGATATAAGTAATTATCCAACATAAATCAGTAATATCAGAGATGGCAAAGAAAAAAAAATTTAATCATACTAGGAGACTATGACGTCATTGTAAGATAGGAATCTAAATGCGATGTAATAAGAAAATTCGGTCTGGAAAAACATAACCATAAAGGTGAAAGGCTAATAAAATTTTGTAAGAAGATTAGTATGATAGTTATCAACACTAAGTTAGCACAATCTAAACGCAGATGATATACTGGGATTAGCCCGGAAGGATAACAGATATTAATTTGATTACATATTATTAAAAAAAAAGATACAGAAACCAGATTAAACAATATAAAATCTATACGATAGATGTGAACTCAGATCATAATCCTGTCATTATGGAAACAAGATTAAGTTTTAAAAACTCAAAAAATCTAATATCAAAGAAAAAATAGATTAGAGCTTAAAAAGAAACAACAAGGAGAAACTTTTATGAGGAAGTGAACGAAACTATAAATAAGTACCTAATCAAACAGTGTTTTAAAGACAAGTGAAAAAATCTAAAAAAAACTATTTTAAAAACAACTTATAATAATTGTATAAAACTTAAAATATTTTATTATAATCGTGTTAACGTTAAAAAACATTGTAAAAAATAAAAGAATTAGCAAATAATGCAGATAAATTAGTAGGAAATCAGATGTTATAAATATGAGGGAATCAATTAATAAATGGAGGATTGACGGTTTGACCATAATCGTTTCCGTCTTTGGTAAACTTAAGTGCTATTTTTTATATTTATATTGTTGTTATTAAAATTGTGTGTTTGATATTATCTTAAAATCTTGTATCTGTGTGTTACGATTTTATATTTAAAATAAAACTGTTTATAATCGTTCTAAAGACTCATTATTATTATCTTTTTTTAAATTCCATTATTGTTATTATTTGTGTGCTCAGCCAAAGTTAAGATTGGATTGTTGATCTTTTAGTCAATGCCAATAGTTATTATATGAGCTGGCTAGTCTCTGAGTGTAATCATTCTTCAGTTGGTAGACTGAAAAAGTAGTTGTATTGGTGACCAACTCGTCTGTTACTATAAAACCGTAAATTAGTAAAAACTAGTTAAACTTATAGATATTAGAAAATGGTAATATAAAAATTTAAAAACCGTTAAAAATATCATAAGAAAAAAACTGTTTGACATTTTTTATCATATTATAATAAACAGAAATAGGGATCCCCTTTACAAAAAATTAAAGTTTAGATTTTTTAACCCAGAATGAATGAAAAAAAAAATGATTAACTACATATTTAGAATTTTTTGAATAAAACAATTTTTTGTTTTACAGAAATTTAAACCTCATTATTTTTCAAGAAATTGAATGTCTTATCTTTGATTGATCACACTGCATATATAGTCTAATTGAGTTACAGTCTATAGTTAATAGTAAAATAGAAATACTTGAAATGAATAATTTTATCTTATCTACTAACTCTTAAAATTCGCATCCTATCAATTTTTTCGGCCATCAATCCAAAATTTTTTTGAATTATATCCATTTCTTTTGATCTGATATACCGCTAAACGTTTAATGAATGCCCCAGTTCTAAAAAAAAATATACATAAAATAGTTAATAAGTGTATTATGACTTCAAAAGATTTTTAATTCGTAAATTGTTAAAACTTCCAATTTTTGTGATAAGCTTACGTTTTAAAATAAAATACTTAATTTTTTTAAGAAACCTAAATTAAAAACTTTACCTTTAAAAGATTAATTTCAATTATAACTATATATAGTTAAGTCATTTTTTATTAACTTTTAGAGAATTATAAAAGTCGGGACAAATCTATTTATAACATTAATTTATTTTATATTAATGTTTGAAATAAGAGGTCTAGGTAATTATGATTTAGTTTTTATTAATATAATGACTTGTCTAAAGACGTAATGTCCTAATCTTAAAACCTCTTTGCTATAAAAGGTATAACATAAAAATAGTTTTATACATAATAAAACGCAATAGAAATAATTGTACGTACTAAGCGACCTTCGTTTTTGGGATTTTATTATCCACAAATCGTCTTAAATATTAAACAAATTTATCTAAAATTCCAAAAATAATTTTTTTGAAGTAATTCATATTCAAAAGTTGTAGTAATAGATTAATTTAATTTATTAAAATGCGTGTTTAAAATATTTATTAAAAATTATATTTTAAAAAATTTTTGCATTTTCATTACTTAAAAACGGTAGCACAGTGAGGTCGCGGCATAGTGGAGACATTGCATAGTAGGGTCCAGTATAGATTTAATCTGACAGTGATTAAAATCACTATCATAAGAAACGCTTCGATGCAAATCTGTAGATAGTGTTTAATTTTAAAAAATTGATGGATAATTGCAAAAGCAACATCAACTTCTATTAAAATAAAATACAAAACCCATAATTATCATACAAAAATAGTATATTTTTCAATATGGTAGCCATTTGCGTATAGAAGATAGATCGTCGGGACAAATTTTTTTTTTTCATTTTGTAGTACATAAAATAAGCTTTAATTTTATATATGTTTAAAGGACGCAGTATTTCCGGAACATTTTCAAAAATTAAGTTGAAAAAGTTATTTTTTGTAAAAAAGTTACTATTTTAAATCCTCCCAGTGAGCAGAATAAGTGTTAGATTTTCAAAAAAAATTATATCAAATGAAAGGGAAATATCTAAGGTTTCAATACAAAAAAATATTATTTTTATTTGTTCATTTTTGAAAAAGTTATGGCAGTTTTAAGTACAAAAAACATCCCGATAAAATGTAATTTTTATCGCAAACATTACATTTTTTTTTAAATTTTCGACAGCCATTTGCACATAGAAGATAAGATGTCGGGACAAATTTTTTTTTTTCATTTGATAGTATATAACATAACCTTTGATTTGATATATGTTTAAAGGACGCAGTATTTCCGGAACATTTTCAAAAGTTCAGTTGAAAAAGATCTATGTTTTTTACAATATTTTAAGTTTTGAACGCCCCCTATATAAGGGGAAATTGTCCAATTTTAATAAAAAGTATGTCAAATGAAAGATGTACTTATAATGTATTTAGAAAAAAAAAATTTGTGCTGATATATACATTTTTCAAAAAGTTATAGCATTTTTAAGTTGAAAATTTAAAATCGAAAATCGAAAATTTTAACACAAAAATAGTGTTTTTTTAACTACGGCAGCCGTTTAAATGTAGAAAAAAAAGTGTCGGGACAAATTTTTTTTTTTCATTTTGTAGTACATAAAATAAGCTTTAATTTGATATATGTTTAAAGGACGCAGTCTTTCCGGAACATTTTCAAAAATTAAGTTGAAAAAATTAATTTTTGTAAAAAAGTTGCCATTTTAAATCCCCCCCAATGAGCAGGTTAAGTGATAGATTTTCAAAAAAATGATATCAAATGAAAGGTAAATATCTAAGGTTTTAGTATAAAAAAAAATTATGTTGATTTGTTGATTTTTCAAAAAGTTATGGAAGTTTTAAGAAAAAAAAGTGAAAAAATTTCGAAAATTAGCGATTTTTAAATTTGTAATTTTTTTGGATATTTCCCCCATTTGCGGGGAACGAGGGAATTTTTTTCAATTTTTAAGGGTAATGTCTTCAACTAGATACGATTTGTGATCTTTTGACGTATTTTTGAAAGAAATCGGTCCAGTGAGAGCTGAGAAAAAGTGGCAACAGACAAAAAAAAAAAAAAAAAAAAAAAAAAAACACATCATAGTAAAATTAATACCTTCTCCGCTTCGCATCGAAGCTAAAAATTGCTGTTATTGATAAATTTTAAAATGTTAAAATTAATTATTTGTAAAAAAAAATAATTATTATCTAAAATTTTGCTATTAGGCTATAATATTATGTTAAAATAAAAATTTGTAGCTTAACTCTCATTTAAGTTATTGCTTATTATTACCTTAAACAACGATGTTCATTGATACGCTTTACTTTTAAGTATAATTAACTTTCAAATTAAATATTTTTGAGTTTGATAAACAAGACCACTCCAACATTTAACCCATCGTATAATCAAAATGTTTAAATAAGAAATAATTTATGAATTATAATTAAAATTTGAATAACGTTTTTACAAAACATTTAATGATTTAGAAACAGAGAATGTGTAAAGAAAACTGCAAAATGCGTTCTATCCAGGCTATGAATAGTTTACCTTAAAAGTTAATTTGATCGGTCGCATGATGTCTCCTTAAGTGCATTGTCGGCATGAACTACTGTCAATTGTCCTTGAACAAAATTTTTATTTTGACAAAAAGACGAAACGATGACAACTAGTAATCATTATGTCAGCTTTCATTGTAGCTTGCCCTAGTTTTTTAATACTTTAAAAGACGCTACAAAATCACTATTCACAACTAAATTGCGTGCGGCGCACAAGACACGCGACTCCAGCCCGCGACAGCACAACTTTCGACTTTAGTGCACCACTCACATCAAGTTTTATACTCATCTATCTATATACATAGTATTATAATGTTTAAGTTTTAATCATTATAGAACAATCACAATGACATACATAAAATTCAAAAGTACGAGGTTCAATCGTTTTCAACATTGCGCATCATACTCTACCATACGATTATTATTGTTACTATTTTTCTCTTTAATTTTATTTTTTTAACAATATCATGCAATGTGACTTTAACGTTTTATCAGATACATAGGCGTTATACTTTATTTTAGTTTTTTACGATAAATTCAGTGTCAGTGGCGGTAGTGACTGTCACCGATCCAAAAAGACTAGCACGTCATCTAAAATCTTTTTGCAGTCCTGTTCAACGAATTCGCGATTTATTTAACAAATTCATTAATTACATGTTTAAACTATTAGAATGATGTCAGTCGTTGAACATAAATGTGAGCACGTTTATGCATACACTATCATAGAAATTCTTTTCATAGTGTATGTCAGAATAACTGCTATAAAAAGAGCCTCAAGGTTTTTTTTATAGCTGTTAATTTAGGATAATATATTATACTTTTTTCCTATTCATCGCTTTTTTTGAATCTATAAATATAATACAATAAGAATAAAATACGTGATTTTAAATAAAATTTACATGAATTCACATAGATTTAAAATTAAATTGATTAATCTTAAATGTCTTTCGCTTTGTTTAACAGCTCTGTTTAAAGCCAAAATATGGATTTTTAAATGTACTACAATATTAAAAAAAAAACCAGCACAGTGGAGTCGCGCCACAGTGGGGACGTATCATAGTTCGGTCAAGTATAGAAGATATCTGACAGTGATTAAAATCACTATCATAAAAAACGCTTCGATGCAAATCTGTTGAAAATGTTTAATTTAAAAAAAATTGGTTGATTATTCCAAAAGCACCATGATTTCCTATTTCCTTATTTATATCCTGACTTTAAGTTTTATAAATTATAAGTGTAATATATAAATAAATATTTATTATAGCAACTAAATATAGTATGAAATTGATATTTAATATTGTAATTTTATACTAAAATCGTAATTTTAATCATTCACTGTGATGTCTGTTTTCACCGTGTAGACAAAATAAAGTCTGATAATTTTTTTTTGCCATAATAAAGTATATTACATAAGCTTTAATTAATTTAAGATATATATAAAAGTGTCAGTATTTCCGGAACACTTTAATTTTTTGTGAAAAAGTTGTCATTTTAAATACCCTCCTGTGGGCAGGTAATAGGTCATATATAAAAAAAAAATATACCAAATAGAAAGTAATGATGTCATGCATCTATATAAAAAAAAAAATATATTTATTATAGGGTAATAAATTATGTCTAAAATATTATGTTAGATATAATAGTCTTTTATAATATAGAGATCATTATTGACGAAAATGTAATAAATTTCGATTAATAAAGAAATAATGATAGCGTCGATGATCACTTCTTGCCTTTGAAATACGATCAAATTTAATATAAAAAGCCCAAAATAATGAGCATTCTGGGACAAATATTCACAGAGGCACTCACTACGTTCAATTAGTCCACACTTTCATAACGAAATATATGCGAGAAGTAATCCGCCATCTCTACAATTATATTTGTACAAGAATACAATATCTATTTATTTAAAAGTGTCTGAGAAAATATCAAGGTAGAAAACTAATAATTTCACCAAAAATATATAAGGTTTATAAATTAATTTTATGAGTACATAGATTAAGTAGACATATAGGAAAATCAAGTGATCATCAATAATAAGAAATATACCAAGTAAATTTAATAAATCGATAATGTTTGTACAGAGTTACTTGACAGAGTTATATCTTTGATGTGTCTATTTCAGGAGCTAGGTTGGAGGTTCATACGTATAGCCACCTTACCACTCTGGGTAGACACATGAGATGACTCAATACCACCTATCATCGATAACCGTCAAAACTCGTGGCATTATTGATATTAATGAATTAACAATTAATCACAATAAGTTATTTTTAACTCACTACATTTGACAAATTAATTTTATAAATTAAAATTAAAACAAAATGAAAAAAAAATCATATTCTTATTCCATTTACGGGGTAAGTATCAACTTTATTTTCCTCCCCAACTACTTGGGATCAGCCAACCTTATCCGAAACTTCCACTTGATACGATCTTCCACATCATCTACGCTCACATCAGCCGATCTCATATCACATTCAACTACATCCCTTTATTTTTCATTTAAAAATAAACACACTTAAACAGTGGTGTGCCCAGGAATTTTAAATGGGGAGGGATGTCATAACTAATAGGTATTAATACAACCAAATACATTTAATGGGGGTGAAAGAATTAGAAAAATATTAATAAGGGGAGCTTCAGAGGTCAAGCCTCATTAAAATATTTATTAATATTTTGTCTTTTGTATGATATGATGTAATGTTATGAATGTGTTGAAACTTTCATGGATTGTCATATTATTTGAAAAGCTTGAGGATTTACCCATGTGTTGCAGTTGATTGCTGACGTTTCGGACTCATTGCACAGTCCATCATCGGAGCGATAGTTACTACTCAGTGGCTGAAACTATACTGGCGGCTTATCTTGTTATCAGTTTGTTTTTATACGTTGGTTGTTGATCATATCAGTTGTTTACCGTATCGGTTGTTTATCATATCTGTTTATGACTCATGTTGTTTACGGTATCTTGTTTTTGTTGACGACTTTGTTTTTGATTATTGTTGTTGTTTTTGACATTCTTGGCATTTTGGTCTTCCTTTTAGTAAATACTAAACAAAGAAACTCATTTTGGCAAACGAATGTACAAAGAGGCAATAGAAATCGAAAAATGTCCAGAGAACTTAAACAGAGAAGACGGATGGAAAATAAGCAAAACTTGGTTACCCATCATACACCAGACAAAAAGAAAATCAACTAACAACACTGAAAACAGTTCAATACAAGAAAAAGTTACTATCAATGTAATGGAAAACTGTCGGTACAGAAAAGGAAGACCAAAATGCCAAGAATGTCAAAAACAACAACAATAATCAAAAACAAGATACCGTAAACAACATGAGTCATAAACAGATATGATAAACAACCAATACGGTAAACAACTGATATGTTCAACAACCAACGTATAAAAACAAACTGATAACAAGATAAGCCGTCAGTATAGTTTCAGCCACCGAGTAGTAACTATCGCTCCGACGATGGACTCTGCATTGAGTCCGAAACGTCAGCAATCAACTGCAAACATGGGTGAATCCTCAAGCTCTTTAAATAATAATGATGTAATGTTGTTATACAAATATACAATGTAATAATTGCAACTTTATAATAATATAATTTCCGAACAGCAATAATTTCAATTATTGCTGTTAGGTACTCGATGCTAGAAAAAAACGCAATGGGGAGGGATATGACCCCTAACCTCCCCCCTGGGCATGCCACTGCACTTAAACCTTGACTCCATCACCTTCTTCCTTCAACAAAGGAAAGGTAAAGGTCAACTAATTTTCAAAATTATTTTATTTAAAAACCCGTAGTATTATAAATACTCAAAATGTATCTACAATATTGATGATAGAGAAAAACTTAGGACATATTCGAAATCAACATTAAAAAATCTAACAGAGACTAAAACAAAAAAATGTATAAATATTTATAACCCAAATTTTCTCAAGTTGTGTAATATCATCAATAAATTAAATTAAACACAATTATGATCTGTGCACACAAGCTTTTCATTTTGAATTTCATAACACACTATACAGTTTTTTTTAATTTTAAGAAGCATAACTATGATTAAATATTTACATATTTCATTGTAAATTAAAACTTTTGATTCACACATATGAAAGACAGATTGTAAACTAACACTAAAATGAATAAACATAACAATAATAAAGAGTTAATTAACATATTTTATAAAATGACTATACATAAAACTTCTCTATCTAAAATAGTGAAATAAATAGTTAATGTTCACTAAATGGTAATAGTTTTAGTTGTTGCGCCTTTATAGTAGGTTGGCCATAGCGTTTTGCAGCTTCATCAAAAAAAGCTTGTTCCATTTGTTTTACAAGCTCATTAAAAAACATATTAGTTAACTTTGAGTGTAATTGTGATTTAAATTCATAGGAAACAAAAAAATTTATAACACAAGTATTGGACTTATTATTTAATCCAGGATTACAATTCCATTGGGTAACTAAATGATTAAATAAATTTCCTTCATGACACTCAGCTCTAATCACATGAGGACGTTGAAATGTAACATGTGACATATAATTTTCAATGATTGGAGGAAAACCTATTTCCAAAAATGTTTTTACATAATTATCTTTTCTTATTTTAACTATTGATTGGCGACAAAATGGTAAAAATCTTTTATAATTTTCTGTATCTTGAATTACATCAAAAATTTGTTCCGGTGAGTACCTAGAAATTAATTTTTAGAATATAAATTTATTATATAATATATAATTATAGTATATAATATAATTTTAAGTTGGTTTTATTATTAACTATTAAAGAAGTAAGCAAGATCTGAGTGTATGGGTACACTTAGACCAATAAATTCATAATGAGTATCCATATTGAATTAGTTATTTAGTTTTATCATCAAAGTATTGTTACCATTATTTAACACATGGAAAAATTAATTTAAGTTTATATATTTAAGCTAATTTACCCAATAAGTTTTCGATCCCGGTAAATTTTTCTGTCACTTTTTCTATTATATGGTAATAATAAACTAAAAATTGTGCGCTTTTGAATAGCACAGTTGCACATGAATAATTTTAATAGAGTATTATTATAAATAAGTAAATTATACTGTTTTTCATTTCCATTAACAGCTATTTGCCATATTCTGAAAAAAATATAATACTTATTTTAAAATAAAATATATAAATAAAAAAAAAATTGATTTCCTAAGTAATTCCTCCAAACAGACAATAATTGAAAAATAATCCACTGATAAAAGAATTACATTTGAATTTTTACAAGAATTAAATTTAAATATTTTAAGTAGAATTTAAAACATTTAAACTAACACCATGATTAAAAATATCAAAAATTAATGTTTTCTCATAAAAATTGGATTCAAAAAACTATACATAACATAATCTGAGAAGGCAAAAATAAATATATAATGATGTATAAAAATGTTTAGACTTATACAGAATGCTTCACACTTAACTGACTATGATTATAATTACCATTTTGTTCAAATTTTTATTGTAATAATAATTGTCTTTTTAAACAATGTGAAAAGCATATTTTTTATTATTCATTACTAATAAGAGCTTGGTTGTGATGGGTTGATAACATTTTAAGACAATAACTCATTCAGTTTTAAACATTTCAATTTATAAAGTGGGTATAAGTCTTCGTATCAATCTTCCTAGGTAAAAAATATTAATAACTTTGGAAATACTTGTCCAATTATGTAATCAATCACTCATTTTCTATTTTATAAGCTAGTTAAAAATGTATGTTTCCATAAAAAAATATTGAAGTTAACACCTCAATAAGATATAAGGGATGAATATAAAAATTATTTTATAACAAAAAATATATATATATATATGTAATTAACAAAAGCAAAAAATAAATAAATAAAGTTATTATTTAAAGTAAAATTGAATGGCTAGCATAAAAGGAAGCACCTTATATTTATACTTATATACTTTATACCTTTTATACTTAAAACATTCTAATATTTATTAAATGTTGATCTAAACCTAAACAATTGATTAATGTTAATTTCAAAATTGGTTAATCACTGTTGATTATAATTCATTAGCTAGAAAATCTTTAAAATTTAAATTCCTAAAATATGAAAAATAATAAAATCCTGTATAGTTTTCTTAAGGAATGATTTAATCAAAGTTATCTACGAAAATCGTAGGTCACAAATTTTAGTACATATTGTGTTATTGATTTCCATGTTTCACATAATGCAACTTTTTACATTTGTAGATTTACTTTAGCTGATTAAATATATTACGTAAATTACTACAAATAAAATCATACTTATTTTTGGTACACGTATTTGAGTGAACAAGTCTTCTGAAAATCATACAAGTCATCTTAGACATTTCTAATTAAATTTGAAAAACTAACACTTAAATTAAATAAATAAAAAAAATATAAATTATTTTTACTAGCACCTAAGATAACTTAATAACATTGAAATGTGTACTAAAATACTTATTAAAAAACAACTATTATTGTTGCAAAATAGTGTTTACATTTAAAACGTAAATTTTTGAAGGCCAATTGCTGAATTATAAGTCATAGTTGTCATATACAATTTTATAAAATATCAGTTACAATTATAGTGATAAATTTTATCAATAACTGTTATCTTATCATGTTATCACACTTTATTTGGGGATGCTACCGTTGATATCAATTTATATTTTGACAATTTAACTTTTTATATTAAAATCAAACACAATATAAAATAAACAGCTAAATAAGTATTATTAATATAATTGTATAACTATGATAATATACTTTAAAAAATGTTAAAAGCCTATGCTTCTAAGGCAGCTAATATGTATAATGTTAATTCTTTACCAAATTTAAATTCTGGATTTCATATGGATACATATTGAGAAACACGCGTTACACAGTCCCTAATAATATAGTAGGTTTTACATAAATGAATGCCGATGTTTTCTTGAATTGAGTTAATTGAAATTCGATTTTTATAATTAGCTTCAGCTTTATAATTTAAGGAATTTAACTTTTAGTTTCGATACAAAACTGAGAAGGTATTAATTTTACTATGATGTATTTTTTTATTATATTTTTTTGTGTGTCTGTAAACGCTTAATCTCAGCTCTGACTGGACCTATCTTGATGAACAATGTATCAAAATATCACAAATAGTCGACGACATTTTAAAATTTAAGTAGAAAAATGTGAGTTTTGTAAAATAATTGTTAATTTGAATCCCTCCTTGTAGGCAGGTAAAGCGTCAGATTTTAAAAAATATCATATCAAATAAGGGAATTTCTTAAAGTTTCAATATAAAAATAATTATTTTTATTTATTCATTTTTTATTAAATTATGGCAATTTTTTGAAAAAAATTGAAATTTACCGATTTTAAAAATTGTAAATTTTTGGGGGATTTCCATCATTCAGGGCAATAAGAAATATATGTACTTTTTTTTTTTTAATTTTTATAAGTATTTTATATGAAAAATGAATAAAATGAATAAATTTATTTTAGTTTAAACAACACATTTAATTCTGAATATTTTATATAAAGTACTCAATTTGACCAATCATTGTTTGACCTTATTTATAATTTTCTTAAATGGGAACCCTTATTTTTAACTTTATAATGTGATAGAAAAAAAATTACAAACAATTTTGTTCTTATAATTTTTTTTATCCGATTAACCGTTCTTCCGTTACAGCTTGTTAAAGTTAAGTGATTTTAGGCCAAATTTCTATTGTTATTTTTTTTATTAAATACAGAAGTCATTATTTTTATTTGCTGTTGCATAAACCAAATTTTATTGATCAAGTTATGACAGGTAAATTAGCTATAAAATTTACTATACACTAAATGAGTGATAACAATAATAGATTCAAACTGGGTTTTCGATGTATTCTTAATAGCTAAGTCTATGGTTTTGTAAAACTAAAGAATCTAACAAAAATACTGGTTACACTGCCACCGATATTATGAAACGTAATAAATGACAATATTTTTTCTGGAAGTCAAAATCTTTAAACAATTATAGAACGTAAACGGTTGTTCGGATAAAAAAAATTATAAGAACAAAATTGTTTGTAATTTTTTTTTTTATCATATTATCAAATCAAAAATAGTGGTTTCCATTTAAAAAAAATATAAATAAACATTTTTATTCCTGAAGGGATAAAAAAATTATTTAACTTCATATTATTGTAGAGTTTTATAAACTTAATAATTTTTCTTTTCACAAAAATTTCAAATTCTCAATAGTTTCTGAGAAAATAAGTGTCTTACCAGATTTCGATCACCTTGTATATTTGACAAATATGAGTCTATTTATATATTTTTTAACGATTTTTTATATTTTAAATATTAATTAGCATTAAAATATTTATATTGAATAACAACTCTATAAGGCATATGTTTTAATAAATACAATCAAATAAGTCCAGCAAAATTATATTTCATTTATTATTAAACACAACTTTTTAAGGATTATTTGAAATTAATGCTAACCATTTTGATCTTCAAAAACAATGAATATTAAAATAATTAAATTTAAATAATTTGTGACATTTTATAAATAATTATTTTTTCATAATTATACTGGATTTTAAGGGCTTCTCAATGAAAGATTAGGTTAAAATAATTATAAATTTTCGAAAAAGGGTTAATAAGAAATTTATATATATTAAGAGTCCATTGGTGAAGTTTCCGGATCCGCACATAAAAGTATTTAAAACTAGGAAGAAAACACTGAAAGATTATCCGGCAATTATAACAGGAGAAGAAGCACACACAAAGTTTAATAATGACACAGTGAATTATATATATTTTAGCTTCAATGTGAAGCTAAGAAGGTATTGGTTTTACTAAGATATGTTTTAGCTTCGATGCGAAGCTGAGAAGGTATTGGTTTTACTAAGATGTGTGTTTTTTTTTTTTTTTTTTTT